TACCTCACTAAAAGACATACAGATGACAAATAAGCATAAGATACTCAACATCAAATATCATCAGGGAACTGCAAATTAAAACAAGAATGAGATACCACTGTATCGTAACTTGAGTCCTTTACATTGATTTCTTGGTTTTTTTTTTTTTTTTTTATCTATAACCAACAGATGAAATGTGTGGTAGTCTGTTACTCTTCTACTTGTAGCCCATTGAGCAAAGATAATTATAAGCCTCATCTACCAATTCTTTAATTTGCCTTGCCTAGAAACTTTTAACAGGAATAAGAAGCTGCAACCTGTTAGCATTTTAATTAGAAACTCAAAAAAAATGCAGGTCTATTGTTACTGATATTGTAAGAATACAAGTCTCACAAAAAACCATTACAGCTTATTGATTAGTTAAAAAAAAAAAAGGTGTGGTGACTGTTTCCACAAGTTGTCATAAAATACTGAGTTAATACTTTGTCTCTCTCACAATTTGAGATTATATTCAAGTCTGTTTCCCTAAAAGGGCAAAAAATTCCTATAATATTGAAATATTTTACAAGTCTGAAAACTGCTTCAAAAACTTAAGGTTGAAAATGTTTTTACAGGTAACAACTTTAATTAGGAAATTCATTGTAAAAATTATCTATTCATCTAAATTATAAAAGTATGTTAACATTCAAAGTTAATTTCACATTAGTGATAATCAATTTTATTATGGCCTGAGATACTCATCTTATTGACCTGAGACAGTTCAAATAAACTAAAAAATAGAGAATTTATTAAAACTCATTTAAGATAATACTCCTATATTAGACATTTAATACTGAATATAATCTCTTTTTAAAAACTTTTTCTTGGGCTGGGGATGTGGCTCAAGTAGTAGTGCGCTCACCTATCATGCATGAGGCACTGGGTTCGATTCTCAGCACCACATAAAAACAAAATAAAGATATTGTATCCACCTCAAACTAAAAAATAAATATTTTTTTAAAAACCTTTTTCTTAGTTATACATGGAAACAATATCTTTATTTATTTTTATGTGGTGCTGAGGATCAAAAACAGTGCCTCATATGTGCAAGGCAAGCACTCTGCCACTGAGTCCAACCCCAGCCCCTGAGTATAATCATTTTTGAGCATTTTATTCTTTAACTTTCTTTTATATGTATTTGAGTTCTCTCAGTTTTTTGTTGTCACTGTTTTTGATTTGCAGTTATGGGGATCAAACCTAGGGACTCTCATATGCTAAGCAAATGTTCTACCTCTGTTACACTCCCAGCCTGGGAGGCTTTCCATTTTTTAAGATAGCAAATCAATCATCTCTACATAATATGAGTATTATGTGTAAATATCTGGAATGTGTTAACAAAAGAGATTATTTCTATGTTTATAAAAGTAAATGAACACATATTCATACATTTCTAAATAACCTTAAAACAGTTCTAGTTTTAAGAACCAGTTCATATGCTGAAATGCATCAATCTTGGAAAGCATTTGTTTGTCATATATTCATTATTGAAATACTACAGTAGCCTGTTTGAGTCATTCTTCTAATACAAAAAAAAGTCTAAGGATTTAGTTTCAAGTTCATGGTCATTCACTGAAATCTACAAGAAGAAATTGGGAATGATATTTTTTAATTTTTTTATTATAGAGTAGGTAAATATTTGGAAATAAATGTTCTAGAAAAATTGTCCTCAATAAGTAAAAAAGGAGATTCGACTGAGTAGATTACAAATGTAGCTCAGAAAATTCATTTATGGATAAATGATTTCTCTTTATCATCCACTAGAGTTACTCAAATCAAAACAGATATCTTGTGCTATTATTATGTGTGGGGTGCTATTATTATGAAACATAGTATATGACATGAGTGAGCAAGAAATTGGCATCAAAGAAATAACTACCAGATGCTGGGAAGATGAAATGGTGGTAAGAACATTTTGTAAATATAATTTCAATGATTTAGAAAGCAGACCAAGTGCCTATGAACTAGTTCTAGGGAAATGGTTCTCACCCAGGAAGAATTTTGACTCCTGTGGGATCTTTGGCAATTATCAGGAGACATTTTGGGTTGTCATAACCGGAAAAGACACGGGGTGTGGTTGGTGGAAGTGAGGGATGTTGCTAAAAATCCTGAAATACACAGTATAGCCTCCTCAGAAGTTATCTATACTAAAATAATGCTTATTTAAGACGCTCTACTGAGAAAATGGCTAATAAGAGCCAAAAAAATAACATTGGTTGTTCCTTATTGTATTTAGTAAATATTACTAGAGAGAGAAAGATAAGCTCAGAAAATAACTAGTAAGCTACAAACAGAAATAAAAGGGTTTAAAGAGAGAACTTTGGGGTTGTTTTGTAAATCTAAAAAACAATTCCTTTATGAGCTGGGGATGGTATAATGCTTGACTAGCATGCTTAAGGCCCTGGGTTTAACCCTGACACTACAAAGGAAAAAAACAAACAAACAAAAAAAACAACAAACCCTCAAACCAAAAAGGAAACACAATTTCTCTAGACTGCAAATAGTAGGAAAGAAGAAGACTGACATAGTAAAGCCTCAGCAAGACTTCTCAGCTAAGATTAATTTAAGGTTTTTACTTTTCCAACCAAAATTTTATTTTATTTCTTGGACAATGAGCTAATGTACATGAAAATAACCTGAGAATCATAAAATATTATGAAAGTGTTATTATTAAGGCCAGCACAATTTTTCCCAACACTGAACTTCAAACTGTTGAAATGGGAAAGGATTCTCACTGAGCATTGTTAACTGAAAATCACTGCTATTAAGTTGCCCATTTTTTAAAGTCATAAAATACTACAGAGAAGGTTGAAGACAAGCTCATAAGAGGTTAAAGGAAAGGGCAATGGCTATAATAAGAATATTGGGAAGCAGATTAGTAACTTCAGACACTTGTGGCAAATGGTAAAGGGGAATGGCAAAAAATAAATGTTATAGTGACAAACGGCAAAAAGGTTGGTCTAATTTAGATAAATGTAAGCATAGAAATTTAATTCCAAAATTCTTACCTGTAGGCAAATGATCTTCAGAAATTAAGAATATGAGATAGGCATATTTTATCTACTCATATTTATAGGATTAAATGATATAAAGTATACTGCTTACATCATAAAACAGCATTCAATTATTGGCAGCTTTTATAATAAAGAACATAATGATGAGAAACAAAACTGCTAACCTACCCCTGTTTTCATATTTCAGAGAAGAGCAAGCAGCAGTAAACCAAAGAAAGAATGGCGCTCTGAATCTAGGTAAAGTCACAAGATTCACACTCACAGCCACGAGGAACCTTTTACTAGATATTTGTTTAAAACCACACAGCTTAGCAGTAACATGAGTTTCACCACTAGGTGGCAATGACACAGCTGCATTTCACCAAAAGGATGAGTTCTGAAGACAGCAAATCCAGACAAAATCCCAAGAAGGTTTATAGTACATATTTTCATTTTAGAAAAATTATTTTATATACTATTTAATTAATAGAAAAACTTTTTCATCTGATTCAATATACATGTTAACTTCTGATGTTTTTTTTTCCACTAAGCACTGATAAAATTTATGGAGTGAACACATTTAAATACTTTCATCACAAGTCTTTTAAAAATGTAGACATATACAAAAATGAAGATAACAGAAATTATGGAAAGCTAAAAATATTTTTAAAGTTTTAGAATTTTAAGGCATAAAATGTTAAATATTTCAATGAAAAAGTTAACCTTTCAAAAATGACTGAGAAAAATTCTGATTTACTATTATTTTTAAAGTTTGGGCCCAAATATGATATAATATGGGAATATTTTGCTTTTAAATTATAAATTATGTTAGTTTTAATACATGCAAAGTATTTTCAAGTCTTAAATAGTTCATCAGGAAAATTTATCAAAATTCCGACTTACATTAAATTTTAGCAGAAATAATTAATTCTTTTTCACATATGTCAAAACAATAAACAATAAATTCTTTAGTGTCTGGCACTTCCCATAGTTATTCTGTTTTCTTCATAAAATAGGATACAAACATGACTTACTTAAAATAGTAAAAACTTTATTTTTTTCATAACAAATAAAAGAGCCAAATATGACAAACTTGGTTCCAAGTTATAGACAATTTTCTAAGTGTTCATTAAAAACAAACTTAACTTTCAAATTCCCAAAATGCTGTACCCCAAATATAAGTTGGGAGCTCAAATAATAACATGTAACATTAAAAAACCTGTACTATAATAAGATGAATAAATAAACCTATACTGTTTCCCAATTCATAAAAAAATGACTAAATTAAAAGAAACCTATTATTCTTATTATAAATAACTAAAGTTCCCAAAATTCTTACTACAAATAAATTGATTAGAATACCTCTTTTAAATATCAGCTTTCCAAGTTTCTACGTAACTTAGCAATTACCTACCATATTTATTTGATTTCCAGAATATCATCATCATCTTGCCACTCACATAAATATGAGACAACAGAAGCATGAGTACTTATTTTTATAATTCATAAATCATCATTTCCCCATGATTATTGAACTTCATTTAAATTACTATAGGTCATCCTAAAATCTTATAATATAGATCTTTTTCAACCTTTACACTATACAAACACAAAACAGACCACCATTTAAGATGGTTACAAGAAAGGATTGCTGTGGTATCTCTGAAAATTCAAGCAAAAGATTTTAGGAAAGTGCTCAATCTGTTCACTGTTATCTCTTAACTATTACTAAAAATCACAGGAAATGCCACTGTTATAGAAAGGAGAATGGTGGACTTACAAAAATCAATACAGGTATACATATAATTTATACATAATCAGCTTCTGATAATCTGAACAAATAAATGGACAAGGGACAACAAGTAGCAAAAAAAAAAAAAAAAAAAAAAATCCTCAAACCTTAGATTTTTTTTCTTTCTTGCTTTTTTGTAGTACTGGGGGACTAAACCCAGAGGCACTCTACCACTGAACTACATCCCCAGTCCTTTTTATTTTGAAACAGGGTCTCACTAAATTGCTAAGGCTGACCTCAAACCTGCAATCCTTCTGCCTCAGCATCCCAAGCAGTTAGGATTATAGGTTTGTGTCACCATACTTGGACAGATGTTTTTCTATCTGTATTTCATAAGACTATGCCTGAGAATTCAGAACATAAAGAAAATTAAGCCATGTTGCAAAAGGGGTATGCTCACAAATACAATTATTAAACAATGATAAAAATTAAATGTCATTATTGGCTAGAATTTGTCATCTTCTGTTTATTTCTGATGGTGGCTCGAAGTTTACGTATTACCAGTCTATCAGGTAGAATCATATCACCCTGTTGTTCTAGATAATCCAATAAACTTTCAGTCCATTGAAGAGCAGCTGCATGATTTATATGTTTCTCTGGAATTAGTTCTATTTCTTCTTCCTCGTTTTCACTGGATTCATCTGTCTGACCTTGTGCTCTTCTGATGATTTCACTGTCAGTTAATACTTCATAGCCTGGTTCAGTACTGTCTATTTCAAGCCATTTTTCAATATTCTCAGTAGTCACATTTTCCAATCCTTTGGTATGCTGCAAAATGGTGGCCACAGTACCCACAGAAATATCTTCTTCATCAAAATCCAAGCCTTCTTTCTCTTCTACATGAGGAAGAATCTGTTTCCAAGCTCTGCTAATGGATACTGGTTTTATTAAGTTCCACGCCATTGATATTTCATAAAGTGCATCAAGCAGAGTTAGTTTCTTCCAGAATGACTTCAGGTCATTTCCTTCTTCCAAGTTGTTTTGGAGAAGACCAGCACGATAGTTTCTCTTCATTGCTGCTATAACTCCCTGATCCAAGGGCTGAATCAATGAAGCCACATTAGGTGGCAGATATTTGGCAAATATTTGGCCATCATCTGATCTTAAGACATTTTCATTTGGATGTGTTGGTGAGTTATCCAATAATAGCACAGCCTTTTCTTGCAAGCCTTTAGATCTTAAGTACTCTCGAACCTGTGGCACAAAAATCTTATCAAACCATTGTCGGAAAATGGAAAGATCCATCCATGCACCTTTTTGGCTGAAATAAGAGACTGGGAGGTTTAAAGTGTCAGTTGATTTGAAAGAGCGAGGTTTCTTTGCTTTGCCCACAACACAGAGTTTAAGTTTGTGTAAACCTGTTGCATTGGCACAACACATGATAGTGACTCTTTCTTCAACTGACTTGTGTCCAGGGATAGTGCATTTACCTTTGACTACTGAAGTCCTAGAAGGTAAGCACTTCCAAAAAAGTCCAGTTTCATCCGCATTGTAGATCTGTTCAGGGTGCAAATTCTCTTGCTCAATAAAATCTCGAAAACTATTACAAAAATCTTCCACAGCAGTCTCATCTCCATTTAATCTTTCATTTCTAATGTTAATCTCTCTAATGCTGTGCCGTTGCTTAAAACGAGTTAACCAACCAGCAGAGGGGTTAAAATCACCATCCATTCCCAAAGCATAAAAGAAGAACTCAGCCCTTTTTGCACAGATTGGTCCAGATATGGGATTCCCTCTAGCTCTCTGCTGGTTGAACCATTCCAGCATTGCTCTGTCCAGTTCCTCATACATGGATGGCTTCATAGATTTCCTCTTGGCCAAAAGACTTGTGGAATCAGAACTGCTTGCATAAGTTATAATCTTTTCCTTATTTTTCCTTATATCCCGAACTGTTGTTTCGCCAATTCCATAAATCACTGCCAGTTGCTTGGAAGAACCTCCATCTTCAAGTTTCTTTATTATATCAAGCTTATCTTTAATAGTCAACACCACTCGCTTCCGTTTCCCTGACATAGTGAGACTCTAGGACTCACCCCGCACTCACACTGTAGTAGTCCACAAAATCCTTCCTTCTCTTGACTCACTTTAACGAAGTCTTAAACTCTGGACCTTTTAACCTTCTGAGAAACTTGGTAGCCCTGCCTGGGTTTAGCTGGCAAAGAGATGGCAAAGGAAGGTTTAAAAATAAGTTTGAGAAAGCAGGCCTTTAACTTAGATGGGCAGCAGAGGAGGCCCCAAGTCACCGCGGATAATCTGGATTACACACATGTGTGTTATCAAGCCAGCAGCAGGGAACAAGACTATAACCCCATCGTGGCCACAACTCTCCTTCACACCCAGGTCCCTGGTCACTAATCCCTGCCACACCCCAAAGTTAAGGCAGAGAGCGGAAGAGCGGGGGACTAGCCACCTTCCCCAGGGGAACGGTTTGATTCCTTTCCCAACTGCCGGGCCCTCCCGCCGCACAGCCCCACTGTCCCACGCCGGGTTTGGCTTGTGCAGTCCTCCCGGCCCCTCTCAGCCCGCCGGGCCCCTCTCCCACCTCAGTTGCAACCAGAACCCCGCACAGCTCCCTGAGTGCCGCGCAGTGGCCGCTCCTCCCCCGGCACACGCTCCCGGAAGACAACCCCTCCCGCCACCTGGCTCCGCCTCTTGCTCCGCCTAGAGGCGGGACTTCCCCTGGTACCCGGAAGCGGGTGGGCGCCTCTGCTGTAGCAAGTGCCCGGGGCGGAGGCGGAGGCGGAGGCGGAGGCAAAGGCGGAGGCGCTTTGAAAGGTGAGAGCGCGAGGGCGGCGCGGGGCCAGCTCGCGGCGGGGACTCGCCCTTGCTCCCTCAGCTAATGGTATATTAGAAGGGCGGGGTTTACCGCGCCTCCCGGCCGGCCGAGAGTAAAATTCCCGCGGGTGCTGTTGGGTGGACCGGACGGCGCCCGTCAGTCCTTTGCTCTACCAGCCTTCCTCCTTTGCTGAGCGCTGTGGGCGCGGTGCCCGTTATTTCCGCCGAGAGGAAGTGCTCGGTCCGTAATTCGGGTACCGGGTTTTCCAGACCCTTGTTTGTTTTTTGGGTGCAGAGCCTCTCCTAGGTCTGGGGGTTTCTGTCCTCCGGCTCACGTCGTCGCGAATCTCTGAGGGTCCAGTTTCTTAGCTACCTGTCCCTCCCTCCTGGAGGTAGAGTGAACGCGCAAGTGAGCGGGCAGGCTGCACTGGGTGCATGCGTCCTGCCAAAGAGCCAGGTTTGTAATCGTGAGAATAACACTGATGTTAACTCCCGAGAGGATCTTTTTCCTCCGTCTGCCATTCTTCCGTGCTGGATTTAGCAAAGCACCGACAGTGTTGTGATTTTAATAAATGATATAGTTATCCTGGTTGCCAAGCTGGCAGAATCCACTCTGTGAAATTGTGTCGTGCTGGACTGTGATTCTAAGTGGGAGGAATTAGCATTCCTCTTTTTATGTGTTTCTTATTTTCCCATTTCTTATTTCTGTTGTGTTTTGCTGTCCTCTTTTCCAGCCAATGGAAGGACTATGATAAATTTATTCACACTGGTGTGATAAGAACTTAATCATACACTGTAGCCATCAAATCTTGTATTACGCTGACTTGTTTAGTAATTTCATCAGATTGTGAGCTCCTTGGGAGCAGAGAGCATGTTTATTTTTTCCACTAATGCCACTGCTTTGAGCATGTGCTGGCATTTTGGTAGATACTTGATAATTGTTTCTTTGGTTTATTCATGTTTCCTCTCTAAACTGCCATAGAAAAGAAAACATCATGGAGAGGTGATGTTTTACAAATAAAAATGAATTCCTTCTGGTGGAATTTCAAATAATGGCCAGGGGTTTCACTGCACCTAAAATCTTAGTGTAAACTACAGCATATATTGTTCGTATAGCAAGTAGGTGATTTCTATACCGATTTTTTTCTTAAACTCTAGAAGAAAGAATATTTCTTCTGATGAGAAATGCTGTCATCACAGTACCTTTTTTAATCATAGAGTTACTATGAGAAAAACACAGGCGATATGGATAATTACCTTTATATTCTTTGACAGCATAGCTATGTACATGCATCTTACATAATTTTATGAAGCACAAAGATGTAATAGTATTTATCTTCTTCATTCGCTTATTTAATGCTTTCTGTTTGGAGTCTTTGTTTTTCTTTGCCTAAAGGTAAGGTATCATTACAGAAGCTTGATAAAATTCTCATTTCAAGAAATTGAGCATTTTTTCAGCCTACACAGAAATTATGGCCATTTGCATGGATTCTTCTTTGAGTAAATTCTAAAGATGTGTTACCCATCATCCCGGCTTTATCTTCTTATTTCTCTTCCCAGGTTCATTCACCTTTTCCCTCTGTCATCATTCTTCCCTTCCCAGATAATATAGTAAAGATATCCACAATTTTTAAAGGAGCCAACCATGTTCAAATTCTACTCTTCAACAATTTTTTACCTTATTGATATAAGTAGCAATTTTGAAATATGATAGATGCTGGCAATTTTGAAGTGACCAAATGAAATTATTTATTTTATTTAAATGTGCCTCCTCAAGCAAATTCTGCAGTTTTCCAAAATAAATATTTTTCTCATGAGAGTCTCCCTTTCTTTGAAATTTATACTTTTAGGCTCTCTGAGTATTCCCTTAAATTTTGTGACCTGTTTCATCAATAAGATGATAGAGGGAAGTTTGCAAATTTTCATCTCTTTTGCACATTCTTTTCTTGCCTAATGGATAAATAATTTCCAGAAGTTTCTGTCCTAACTCATGTGCACTAAAATTCAGTTGGATAATAAAAAAGCATGTCTATAAACCGAAGCCATTCTGATGGTTATTTTCTGAAACTAAAATTTAGCATGAGTGAGAGATAAAATAATAATATATTAAAGGCTTCATTTTTACTACTTGTACAAATATGATATTGGCAGCAATCATTGTGTAGCACTGGACCGGGAATCAGGAGACCTGGTTTCTAATCCCTACTCTGTCACTAACAAGCTGTGTGATCTTGGTAAGTCATTTAAACTCTATGTCATTGGCTTTGATATTTATAAATGAAGAGAGAATTGTCTTCATAGGATCATTGTCAGAGTTGAAAAATAAATATGAATATATACTGAACATTTATAAATACACGGGGGTTTCTTTTAATGATACCTTAATGATGTACAGACATAAAGTGTCTTTATAATAGTGTGATGTTCTTCATCTTTTCTACAATTGTCAGAGGAATAACCTATTATATGATAAATAAATGTCTTTTGAGCATGTTATAGTTTTGTAAAATGGTCATCTAGTGTACTTGAATCTGCTTTGGATACTAATAAAAATCATCTTTCATTTTAATATTTTTTACTGTCCATGTTTGCTGTAGTGTAACTGTTGAACCCATATTTGTTATTTGTGATCATAAATGTTTTTTCATTATTTATTCCAGTTAAGAAGTAAGCCTTTCTATTTAAGTAATAATAAGTAATGCTACATGTAGCATAATGCACATATGCCTATTTGGCTTATGCAAATTTAACTATCTGTGCTTAAAAATACTTCTTTGTAGTCAATAGTTTCAAAAGCTGCCTTTTATCTAGTGTTTAACCAAAGAAACAGTAATCTGTTCAAAACTAGAAAAGAAACTAGGTAGACATTGTAAAGCAATGTGATATACACAAAACAATGCTTTGAAGAGCAAAATAAGCATTCTTAGAAAGGGTAATTTTGACCACAAAAAATTTTTATCTTCATTGATTTTAATATAAGTCTTCTTTAAGATTTAATCCAAATGTACTTTCAAGTAGCATACTTTTGGTCTATAAAACAATATGATTATATCTTGTTTCAAGGTTCTACTTCAGCCTACACTGAATTTCCGGTATATAACACTATAAAGATAATTTCTGGTGTATAATCTTACAATCTCTGTTGTTCTTGATTTTATATGATTTTATATTTATTTATATGATTCTGATTTTATATTACCATTTTAGGCAGACATATTACCTTATAAATATACCAGAATTTATACAATCAAATGGGTTGTTTTTTTCCCCCTCTCCAAAGTAATCATCTTAGGAAGCTATTAATTTGTTCTACTAATACTGCCATTGTTCTTTTTTTTTTTTTTTTTACTTTTCTGTTGTGGAATTGCCTTCAGAGTATGCCACACATTTTAAAAAGTCTTTAATGATAGTTATCTTTATCTTATGAAGATTTCATTTCTGGGGCTGGGGTTGTGGCTCATTGGTAGAGCACTCGTCTAGCACGTTCGAGGCCCTGGGTTCGATCCTCAGCATCACATAAAAATAAAATAAAGATATTGTGTCCATCTACAACTAAAAAATTAAATATTTTTAAAATAAGATTTCATTTCTGGAACCTACTAACAATCCTTTATAACTCAGACAAGTGAATAAAGTGGATGTTGAAACCACTCTTTGGAATAAACATTTTAGAATGATTAGTTTCATATTTTTTAATTTGTATTTTTTATAACTGGATTATAGAAAAACTCTAGTTATATTTTATGCCATCATGGAAATATTGGAATAATCAGCTTCATAAGGTGATTTCTTCGAAGGGGATCACATTCAGTTGAATAAGTTCCAATACATTTATTATGAGGTCTGTCTCATTACATTGTAATCATACTTCTATTGCTTAGCAACCACAGAAGTACATATAGGTTACTGATGTTCTAGTTATCTCACCTATCGCTAATTGATCCTTTAATATATGCTTATGATAATTTTAGTGGAATTCACCCTTTTCTTAATCATATACTGACAGCTTTGGGGTTTTTTTTCTCCCATATCATGATCTGCTTCATTCTGAACCTCTTTTGTTTTTGACTTGACTTGACTTGACTTCATTATTGATTGTTAGTACGTTTTCTGTTGGATTACACTGTATCTTTGAGTGGTTTAAGACCATTGCCATTTTACTAAGGTTTGTAGAAGCTACAATTTTAGGGGATAGGCTGTCTCAGTATTGCACTGTCTTTTATGTCTATTGCTACTTTATAAATTTCTTCATGTCAGTTGATCCTATATAATTCATGTTATTTCTCTGTTCAGAAACCTTTACATTCAGGATGAATAATCCTGGTAATTTCATTTCACTTTTCTCTCCTTTTTTCCAAACTGAACAGACTGGAATTTTCTTTTTAAATACCCTTTTCATACTCACTCACTGAACATAATGTGTTCTTTATTAATGCTAAAGTTTTACCCTTACCATTTTACCTGCCTGAAATTCCTTTTTTTTTTTTTTTTTGCTCATTCTTTCTTTTCAGATATAACCAATCCTTGAGAATTCTGTCTGATCACATACATTTGTTCAGGATAATCTTCAGTAAATCATTTGCCCTTTTACCTCACTGCATCTTTACATGACCATCATAGTTATTTTTATTACTTGTTGGGTAACTGAGTTATCTTGAATTTTTCTTAATTACATGTTTCTATTAGTTTTATACATGGATAATAATTTTTTGAAGGATACAGGACCATGATTTTTCTATGTATCACTTATCACAACATATATCATAATTCAGAACAGATGGTAATACAGTTATTTCATAAATATCAATAAATTATTTGTTGAATGATTATTCTGCCATCTTCACTCAGATATTTCATGTGATTTTACCTTTTGACCATTTAATAAAGCCAAATAAATTTAATTTCATTGCCTTAATCTGGTTATTGTTATTATATCCCCAATAACTTTATTTTGTAGAAGCTTAAGTGAAAATGGTACATGTTAGAAGACATGAAACAAGGAAAAATTCTAAAACTCAAGTGCCTGAGCAAAAATCTCGTGTTGATTGGCGGCGGACTAAAAGAAATAGTATCTCACAGTTATTTGATAGTGATGAAGAGTTTGATAGTGATGAGGAACTTGATAGTGATGAACAGCTTGATAGTGATGAAAGTGTTGATAATGATGAAGAACTTGATAGTAACAAGGGGCTGGATAGTAATAACACACCAGAAAATGAAAGAGTGCTTAAACTAATCAAAACTGAAAGTGAAGGAACCAGCAGTAAGCATGTCATTAACACTGGCAACAGTTCAACATATGAAGAAGAAATTAACAAAACCAATCATAGGAATATTGACTTGACAGATCATGAAAAGCACTTGAGTCAAGAAGAGAAGGATCTCAAAAAACATACTGTACAAATCATAGATGAGGATTTAGAAGAAGAACACATCAAGCGAGTGAAAAGAAAAAGGATTTCCTCTGTGATGTATGACAGTGATGAGAGTGATGACAGTGATATCCTAATTAGAAAAGTAGGTGTTAAACGTCCACGAAGAGTGGTTGAAGATGAATGTTCTTCAGTGGAAATGGAGCTAAAAAACCCTGAGAAATCATTAGCTACTCGAAAGCAAGAACAACTCCAGAAGTTGAAAGAACTCTCAAAACAAAGATCTCGCCAAAGACGCAATAGTGGTAGAGATTTTGAGGTGTGTTTTATTTTGTTGGTTTTGTTATTTTTTTAATTTTTTATTGATTTAAATTTTATGAAATCAAAGTACTGAGTCTGTTCTATTTCTCAGTAAGTCTAGAATTTATTTTTAATCAAGTATCTTTGATATTGTTTGTACTCACATCTAATATATTGTTTAATCATAAGCCCTACTACCTCACTGTTTTTTAAAATGAAAGACTATTTGTTGTTTTGTATGGTCTTTCCTGTTCTTCACTGATTATGTTCTTAATGTTTAAACATTTTACATCACCTCAGCAAGGTATAATCTTCCTTAGAGTTCAGCATATAACATGACAAATTTAATTTTAACCTTAAAATATGAACTTAACTCTGTGGATCATTTTTTGCTCTCAGATTTAATCTTTTAATTTCATATCCATCTAGGCATTTTAAAGCCACAATTTACTGAATCATTTATTTTAATTTAATTAGGACTCTGAAAAGGAATCCTGCCCAAGCAGTGATGAAGAGGAGGAGGAGGATTCTGAATATGATGAAGATGGAGATAATTATATTATTGATGACTTTGTAGTACAAGATGAGGAGGGTGATGAAGAGAATAAAAATCAACAAGAAAAAAAATTAACTACCTCTCAATTGAAATTAGTAAAACAGAATTCTCTTTGTAAGTTAAATACCAAGATATTTTTATGACTTGTTCTAATCATTATAGTGTATCAAGCATCAAATCAACCTTTTTAATATCATGTTATAAACCACTGATTAGGAACTGTGGTTTCATTTTTAGATATCTTAAATTTGTTAGTCCAGTATTTTATTCTTGTGGTCTTAAGAACTCTTCACTCTTAAAAATTATTGACCTCTGCCAGGTGCAGTGGTACATGCTTGTAATCCCGGCAACTCAGGAGGCTGAGGCAGGAGGATTACAAGTTTGAAGCCAATCTCAGCAACTAGTGAGACCCTCAGTAAGTTAGCAAGCCCATCTCAAAATAAAAAATGAGAAGGATAGGAGATATAGTTCAGTGGTAAATCACTTTTTAGCACTCCCACCCCTAAAAAAATGACCCCATAAGCCTTCATTTCAGTGGGCTAAGTCAATATTTTACCATTAGAGAGATACAAAATTTAGAATTTTAAAATGTATTTATTAATTTAAAATAACATTACTAAACTCATTACATTAACAGAAATAACATTTTGTGAGGAGTAACTATTTACAGAAATGAGAAGAATAGCAGTTGTACATTCTTGCAAATACTTTTTTATGTCTAGCTTAATAGAAAGCAGCGGGGTTCTTACCTCTAATTTTAATTCAGTGTGTTGTAATATGTTGTTTTGGTTGAATCACATGAAGTTTTACTTCACATGGGTAGCTGAAAAAGGGATGAGTATTTTAATAATCATTTAATTTGTCTGTCTTGTAATTTGAATAACTTTTTTACCCAAGCATAATTTTGCAATATAATATTTTAGTCATTTAGAAGATACGAGTTCACTAGGTACTACAGATCCTTCAGATGCTAGCCCATTTTATTACATAATTTTTTTAAAATTCACCTTCACTGATATCACTATCAATCTCATCAGAATAGTGCTATGGTATTGTAAAGCTGTCAAGTTCAAACTAGCTCAGACAAGTTTCTCAAAATTCTGACTTCTACCTAAAAACTTGATTTTTATCATTGAAAACAAACCCTGTGAGTTGTTCTTGAAGTGACAAGCTCATTGTTTGGTTGTTTTTTTTTTGTTTGTTTGTTTTTTGAGAAAATGTCTGGTAGATACCCAAGTTTGAATAATCATATTTTGTCAAGCATTGTTTCAGTTAAAAATGGTGTTTCAAGATAAATTATGCCTTGCCCCATCTCAAAGAGTTGCACAGTGTTTTCCCTTGAAATAAGCATCGTAGTTTAGTATATGATATGAGTGCTTTATGTGTACTCCCCATTTTATTTAATAGAGTACTAAAAAGATATATACTTAATTGTGAAGTGCCCCGTTGTTCTGGATTATATATCTAGAAGGTGATAAAATATTTGCTGAAAAATACCTGAGCATATCTTCTCCTGCTAATTAATGGAAATAAAAGTCCAACATGTAGGAACTATAACTTCCTTCTCTATCCTACATTTCTGATTTTTGTTTTAATGACTTCCTTCTTTACTTGTTTTCATCTTAATGGTAGGTTGTAATTTACAGAAATATTAAGTGGAGAGTACAAAGAGTTGACCTGTACTCCCTCACGTGCAGTGTCACCTATTATTAACCTCTTGGATTAGTTTGACACCTTTGTAATAGTTGATGAGCCAGCATTGATATAGTATCATTGAGTGTAACTCACAGATCACATTAGGACTCTGTGTTGTACTTTCTTTGAGTTTTGACAAATGTATGACATGTATCCACCATTACAGTATCTTACAGAACAGTTTCATTATCCTAACAATATCCTATATTTATCCCTCCCTTCTTCCCCTGAACTCTTAGAAACCACTGAGGTTTTCTTTTTTTTTTTTTTTTTTTTGGGGGGGGGGGTGGGGGGGTCTTCAGTTTTGCCTTTGCTAAATTGTCACACAGTTGGAATCATGTAGCCTATAACTTTCCATATTGGTTTCTTTCACTTTACAGGATGCATTTTAAGTTCCTTCATGTCTAATCATGGCATGTTAGCTCATTATTTTTTATATCTGAATAATATTCCATGTGTGGATTTACAACAGTTTAGCCATTCACCCACTGAAAGATATCTTGGTTGCTTTCATGTTTTGGCAATTATGAATAAAGCTGCTATAAACATTTGTGTGCAGATTTTTCTCTGAACATAAGTTTTCACTTCATTTTGAATCAAGGAGTTCTGGGCTCACTTTTAGTACTAAGCATCTCTGCTTTGGGGGAAAATATATCTGACTTTTTATGCAATATATTTTGTGAGTTCTTAATTAAAACTTCTACTTCTGTCATATACTTAGTTCTCCTTATATTCAATGATTTTATCTTTATAAGCAGATTGACCTCACTTGTAACCATATTCATGCCTTTCCCCCTTGAGTTAGTATATTCCACTACTCATTCAATACTCTCTTACCATTCTGTTACATGTTTCCCAGTAAAAATCAGACTCCTGCAGTATAGTAAAATTACTCTTAAGTTGTTGTTAACCTTTTCTTTACCCAAATGCTCTTCAGTTATTTTATTAACCTAATATTGCTGTGCTGTTTGCTACCATTGGCCACTGTCACTTTCAGGTTGCTCTTCTATTTTTACTTTCTGTGGTACTACTCTCTCCTGGCTTCCCTTGTAATATTATTTTCTTTTCCACTTGCCATGTAAATTTTGATGTTTTCAGGTATTCCATCCTCAACTACCTTTGTTTTGCTTGTGCTTGGAAAGACTCCTCATTACTCCAATATGTAGGAAAAAATTCCCAAACTTTTATTGCCATGAAAGATTTCTGAACATAAGTCACAAATTTTTATCATTTTATTGTCCTTTTTTTAACCAGGGTATCTTTCAGAGGTCTCAGATTCAATGTGTATGAAACTGAACAATTGAGATGTATTGTAAAGGAGTTTAGTGTGGAGGAACAGCTGTTGTGGTGGTTACATAATTTTATACATTGTTCAGAACTGTAATCAAAAAAAGTTTTTGATGTGTAAAATCATAAAGCCCAATCAAATAAGGCAAGTGGGTGTCCCCACTTCCAAAAAATAAATAAATAAAATTGATTGGTTAACCAACCTCCCTGTCTTCATATTCCCAGTACCTTTGGGACTTGATGACACATAGAAACTCATTATTAGTTGAGTGATTAAGATAAGTTGAGTGATTAAGTGATTGAAGACTCTTGAGTTTTATAATTCAAGACTCAGGTAAATATTGAACATGACCATATTTTTTCAAAATCAGACCAAAAAAGCCCCATATTTTAGGGTGATAATTTTTTTTCTTTCTTTTTTTTTTGGAAGCAGAGTCTCACTAAGTTGCTTAGGACCTTGCTAAGTTGCTGAGGCTGTTTTGAACTTGTGATCCACTTGCCTCAGTTCTCCTAAGCTGCTAGGATTATAGGCATGCACCAGCATGCCCCACCTAGAATGATACCTTCTGTTTTAATGTTTTTTGTACTTATTAGTTTTAAGCCATATGTGAAGATAATAAAATTTAATATAAGCAATTTTCAATTTGCTAAGGGGTTATTTTCTGATAGTTACTATAAATTCTTATAAAATCAAAAATTTATTTTCTCATTAAAACAATAACCAATGTAGTGAATAATGAACACCACTTTGTGGCCAGGGGGAAATTGTAATTAAGCTAATATTCCCAGTTTAATTCTGTCAACTTTTATACAACTTTTTTATACAACCAACCATTCATATTTAACATATGATAAGAATTTGAGCAAAACATTTCCTAACTCCACATTGAGTATGCAATTTGAGGATCACTATTAGTGGTTAGTTCAGTTTTGCCTTTTGAAGTGAGCAGTCAACCTATAGGAAGATATTTTGTCATTTTCTCACTACCTCCCATTTGGCTCTGAGAAAACTATTACCTCAAAATAGTGTAATTTCCTCCTTGCTACATGGTTGAAGTTAGAGACAGTTATAGTCTTCTTCCCTTCTCATCAATCCCTATTAGTTTATTCTGAGACTGCAACTCCCAGAAAAGATAAGGTGGAAAGGAGAGGGGCAGTTGTCCATTGCATATCAGATCTGTATATTCACACACTGAAAATATTATACACAGGGAGGAAAATAGGAAAAGAATTCTGATCTGTATATATAAAATCTATATCCTATCATATATTTAGATCAACAGAACCTCATAAAGATGAGAAGATTACATTTTGGTTTACTAGTGCCTTGCTAGAATATTGGAAATTAGACTAAATGAACATCAACTTCATCCCCATCTAGCAATTAAAGAGAATCACTCTATCACCACAATAAAGAATGGGCCCAAGAATCACAAGTATCACAACCACTTATGTTAAATATTAAATCTTAGATCCCCTGCCTTGTTCTATAATAAGCAAAAGATACCAATGAAATCATGTTGGGGCAGTTAAGGTAAACTCAGAAAAAAATTACCATGAAAAATGTTTTATTAAAGGAAACAGAAGAAGATTGCTTTTCAATCTAATGTAAAGCAGTAGAAAGTCATAAGGAAAGCCTGATTTTAAGTAAAAGGGAACTGGCTAAGACAAAGAATTCCCAGAAAATTCAAAGTGTAAAGTCAGAAATAAAATCTATATTGGAAGCAGTAAAGAACAGAATTAACAGTACTGAAAATCATATCAATGATACATAGGATAAATCTGAGGTGTTCTAATGTAGAGAAGAAAAAGTTATGAAGAAGATTAAATTCCTAGGGGTATAGTATAATGCACAGATAAAAGCCTCAAGTAAGAAAATTTTATAACTTCAGTGAGATATGTAAAGAAAGATTTGGCGGGGACAGGGGCTGAGGGTAACCAGGGATTGTGAACACAGGAGTACTACTTAACCACTGAGTCACATCCCCAACTCTTCCTATTTTATTTTGAGACAGTCTCTCTTAAGTTACCTATGGCCTCACTAAATTGCTAAGTTTGGCTTTGAACTTGCAATCCTTATGCCTCTGCCTCCCAAAGAGCTGAGATTGCAGGCATGCGCCACTAAGTCCACCATAAAGGAAGATTTGAATGTATTAAACATTATACCATATTTTTAGATGAGAAAACATAAGATACGAATTCAAAGATAAAATATTCTGGAGTTACTTTCATAACACATAATAGGTGTTTTTTTCAAATTAAAAGAGGCTCACATTCCTGATAAATTGATGAAAATACTTTGCATATTGATTTATGAAAGAACTATTTTTTCCAATTACAAGAATAAAGAAAACACCTCTAGCCATTCTTTTCAGAACTATAAAAATAATTTTAGGAATCATGAATATGTTGTTAAAATATTAAAAGAGGAAAAATCATAATTTGTTGAGATTATAGAAAGGCATTTAATAATATTAATTCCCATACATGCTTTTTCATAAAAAAGCAAGTATTTAAAAATTAGTAATAGGAGAACATGTCCTTTACATGACAGTGTTTTAAATCAAGAGTTAACATCATAGTATAATGAGTCAGTAGTTAAAATGAGGAAGATAAAAATATTTCCTAACTTGAAGGGTTTTGAACAATTTATTAAGACATTAAAGAAAAACATATAGTTCCCAACTTAAATGGTTTTGCCTAAGAATTTTTGACTTTAAGGTAGTGTAAAATCCATATGCATTCAGTATAAACCTTTTAATTTTCATCTTTTTCCAGACAACTGATATGCAATATGAAACACTCTTGAGATGCTGACCAGGGTAAATAATATAGTGTACTATAATAGGCAAGTTAAGTGTATTCTTGTTTTTTGTTGTTTTGTTTTTGTCTTTTCATGGGGCTGGGGATTGAACCCAGGACCTCAGTTATACCTCTATCCCAAGTTAGGATTGTTAAGTGAATTTCAACTTAACATAACTTAAAAATGAGTTTATTAGGATGTAACCCCATCATAAGTCAAGGAGCATCTGTATTGAAAAGATATTATTTGAGTGTAGTAAGTTTAATGTGTATATACAAACTATAAGTTTCTAACTTACTTAACCAAGGCTACAGAAGTTAAGAGAAGGAATATGAATATTTTGAGAGCAGGAGTAATGTCATATATCTTTCTATAGTTTTCTTCAGATTCCTTTTCCCTACATACAGGGTAGGGGAATTTTTTTAGAGTAGAAAAAGAAGTCAATTTCTTTTTCTGCCTCTTTTTTTTAGAGAGAGAGAGAGAGAATTTTTTAATATTTATTTTTTAGTTTTTGGTGGACACAACATCTTTTATTTTTAATTTTTTTTAATGTGGTGCTGAAGGATCGAACCCAGTGCCCCACACATGCCAGGTGAGCACGCTACCGCTTAAGCCACATCACCAGCCCTCTGCCTCTGCTTCTTATACTGGGATTATACCTCCATTCCGGAAGAAAGTACATCAACAATCACTATGCTTCTATCTAAGGGAATATTTATAAACTTTCTTTTGGTTCTTGAAATAGTAGTAAGAAGAATAGGGTTGGGAGAGACAGCAAAGACAATGCCCAAGAATCCCTTAATAGTATCATCTGCAGCTCTATAGTATCAGAGGAAGCTCATCTCCCACAAATATCCAAGAAAATCTGACCACTTTGAAATGAGTAAAAGATTTTAGAAAAATAACCAGATTCCTAATAAATGTGTAAAACTCAATGGTTTTCTTATATATAGCAATAAATATTCAGAAGACATGATCAGGAGAAATTCCATGTACTGTGACAACCAAAATAAATTTTCTGAGTCTAATCTTAAAAGCTTGGCTTTATAGGTTCAAAAACAAACCCTACTATGAAATAGAAAAGAAAACATGTATAAGTGGGAAAATAAGCATGGCTCTGAAAGGTGCTATACATAACACAAGAAGTTATTCTGAAATTAATTTTTGGTTCAGCTTTGCAAAACAATCTTGAAATTCACTTGGAATAACAAACCCATGAGAATAAATAAATTTTGAAAACAGTAAATTTAAAGAATTTTCCTTACCAGATATAAAAAATTATCATAAAATTGCAATAAGTAAAACAGTGTATTACTGGCCTGAGAATGATAGCCAGAGCAGTAGGAAGGGCACATGGTGCTGAAACAAAGTCCTAGCCTGTATGTGAAATTAATGTATAACAAATTACACATGGAAACCACCAGAATATTAGATTATAAATGTGAAATGATGAAACTGGTTAACTACTTTAGAAAAATCAAATTATGCATAAACACAAATATTATTGATTTTCTACTTATTTTGTCCAGTTTTTAAAATTATGGGGTGCAGAGGGGTCTGTGGCTTAGTGGTAGAATGTGAGCTTAACATGAAGGAAGCCCTGGATTCAATTCCCATCACCACCAAATAAACAAAAACAATGAAATTATCACGGGGGAAAGTTTTTTAGCAATATTCCTAGAATATTGTTCTGCCTCTAATTATGTAAATTTTGATGTTATTTATTACACATTGTTTTTTCTTAATTTTAAGAAAAGAAATTTGAATGTTATTTTCTTCAACTTTCTACCCAAGCTTAACTTCTGTATTCTGAAATATCAAATCAGTCTACCATGAATAACAATATCTACCTGAAATCTGGAGGCAGACACCCTAGGTTCCAGCCCTTGTTCTAATACTTACCAGCTGTGTGATCTTGAAAAATTTTTCATCCTCTCTGTATTTCAGTTTCCTCAGAGGCTTATTGTGAGAAATAAGAAAATTCATGTAAGTGCTTAGAATGATGTCTGGCATGTACTTGCTCTATAATGTTATTATTTTTCAATTTAAGATGCCAGAAAAATCATCCTACCAACACCCTGCATCCACTCAAAACATAATGAAGTCATGGCCTTCTTCCTGGCCTTTTCGAAGGTGATTCTGATTGCCATTGATAGGAGAGGTGATGGTTAGGGAAAAAACCTCTCAAGGTGATTAAGGTCTTTGAAATAGAGTGGCAGTTCAGAGCATTAGCACATTCAACACTGATAAATTCAGTGGGGTAAAAAATTCTATTGCTGTTTGATAGTTAAGCTTAGGTTCAGAGGGATTGAATTTTATTTTCCTTAATATATTTTGGAAGTGTAAAATAGAGTTTAGGTGACTTTTAAAAAATTTTATCTTGAAACAGGGTCTGGCTAAGTTGTTCAGGCTGGCCTCAATTTTGCAATCGTCCTGCCTCAGCCTTCTGAATAGCTGGAATGGAAGGCATTCAGTGATAAATTTTAATGCAAATAAAATTGCATACCAACTCTATTCTATATTCAGAGTCTGATGAAAATCTAGTAAAAGTTGAATCCTTTTGAAGTACTACTATATTTTATTTCCCAATTATGCTCTACTGATCTTTAAGAAAATACTATAGTCAGTAATTACCGCGATTACTTCTGTTATAATTGACAGTAATGATAGTTACTTTAAAGTCTAAGGGTTTCTGTGAAAATTACCTGCTATTGCTATTTACTTTTATTACTATTTTATTTAGTCCCTTTTGTACTTCCTATAGGTGTCTCCTTAGGAAAAATGCATTCTAAAATTTCCCCTAAAGCCTGAAAAAGTTATACAGCCCTTTTAGAAACCAAAATTTAAGTATAAAGTTTTTTCCATGTTGAATTCCATCTTTTTTTCATTTCAACCAGAAGGAAAGTCAAAATTCATGGTTGCCAACAATAGGTCTTATTGTAATTTAATCTCTTATAAACATCTTTCACATTTCCAGAAATACTCAGACTGCCCTTAATATGTCTTCACAGGTGCCCAGAGCAGTGCAAATGTTCTGTAATGAACATTCAGGATCAAAAAACAGGTTACATTTAATATAGAACATTGCCACACCCCATAGTAAACCCTAAATCCCAAAATAATAAGAATAGAATCACTGTCTGGCCTGTTACAACATGTGATTTCATGTATGAAACTTGGTTAGTGATAAAACATGCTTATATAGCTGGCATGAGAAAGAAAAGACACAACTTTTATAAATTTATGTGAAAAATCCCAAATCTGAGACAGTAGTAAGGGAAATGGAGTTTTATAGCCATTGTGGTTCTGGGTAGGATATCGGTTTCCTGAATGATATTATACATAACATGTTTTACAGACTACAGTGTATTAAACAATCTATTTTTGGAGACTTTGTCTCCTGCTTTCTCATACCAGTTGTCCAATTAATAATTAAACTTAAGGGGCTGGGGCTGGGGCTGGGGCTGTAGCTCAGTGGTAGAGTGCCTGCATTGCATTCATGAGGCACTGGGTTCGATCCTCAGCACCACATAAAAATAAACAAATAAAAAAAAAAATAAATGCATTCTGTCCAACTACCAAAAAAAAAAAACTTAAGTATCAAGGGTATGATTTTTACTTTTTTCATAATATGTCCCCTAAAATTCTCAGAAAAACTTTCCCTTTATACATTTGGTAAATTTTGAAATTACATTTATAAACTTTGAATTAGAGGCCAGTAAATTTGGAAAATGGAGGCCTAGTGACTACACAAGTCGGTAAGGCAGCTGTAAGATGATTACGCTGTTTCTGCTATAAATAGTATTGATTTCTTAGCATTAGAGAAGGAACCTATTATATTCAAGGAATTATTTTATTTACTAGATTCTAATATTTATTTTAAATTAATTTCAGATTCTTTTAGTGACCACTATACTCACTTTGAAAGAGTTGTGAAGGCCCTTCTGATCAATGCTTTAGATGAATCTTTTCTGGGATCATTGTATGGTAAGTTTATAGATAAATGGAACAACTTTATTTTTAATTTTCCCATTTTTTTAAACGCTATCACTTTTAAAACTTGATTAAACAAAACTAAGGATAACCATTTTTAAGGCATAAAAATTGTTCCTTCTAGAATGAATTATACCAAAAATACATTAATTTTAAAAGCTTGTTATTGTTTGTTATTTGAGATATTTAGTAGATAAGTTTGTGACAGGTCTTTGCCCTGAAAGAGTTTACAGTGAATTTAAGGATATGACATATACTCATAAAACAGAAAGGTGCCTGAACACCCATGTGCTCTCCTAGCTTAAGTTCTTTGAATTTCACTGACAGTTATATGTTATTTTATACTTTTGTGCCTTTGTCCATGCTGTTGCTGTTACTTTTTATTTCAGATTTTCTGAGTGTAAAAGCATTCTACTATGGAGGTTATCTGTGACCCACAAAAGTGGTACTTTTCACTCTCTTATCTCTTATGGTAGAACTCATCATGTATTTGCAACTTTTTTGTATTCTATTTAAATATATTTTTCTTTTTTCCCCTACCAGAGTATGAGAGGAACTATATATATACTCATATTTTGCACTCAGCACAGAATTCTTTTTTTAATAGACTATAAGTATGTTGTGTTGAAAACCTACCTATGTGCCAAAATAAGATTTTAGTAATAATTTATGGAATAAATATTTATTGAATGCCTACTATGGACCAGGCATTGTTTGAGAGTATAACTGCTAATACCCCTAGGGGGGAAAAATGTTTCCACAACAACTAGAAGGCCTGTGTAACTAGAGTGGGATGAGTTGGGGGAAAAGGAGATGAGTTCAGAAGAGTAGATATGGCATAGGTGGACTCTGTAAGCCATGTTTGTAAGGTACGGTTTGAATTTATATTGACTTAAAGAAACATGATAAATGTATTAGCTAGATTCGTTAAGAAAACATCAGTTCCTCTCTAAACAAATAGAAAATATTTTATGAACCAAATCAGGAAAACAGAAATGAGTGTAACAACTAAAAGGGAATGAGGGAAAGGACTAATCAGAAAATCAGTTCTGATTTGTTGGTACAGGAGTTACCACTGGATCAGTAGAAAGGCACCAATGTCAGAGGGCCTTGAAAGCCTAGTCAGAACTTTTTTGAGTTTTTTTTTTTTTTTTTCCTCAAGTTCAGTGGTTGATCCATGTTAGTTTTCTAAAGATGAGAATAAAAGAAGTAATTTGGTAGGCATTTTCACCTGGCTATTTTTTAAGAGTATATTTTTATTTTTTTATACATTTTATTTTTTTATTTATTTTTATGTGGTGCTAAAGATGGAAGCCAGGACCTCACACCTGCAAGGCGAGCACTCTACCGCTAAGTCACAACCGCAGCCCCTGGCTCTTTTTTTAATTAGAAAATAATGTAAAAGTTTGATGTTTATAAGAAGAAAAATAGAGCCTTTTACCCTGTTTTCTTGCCCTTATGCTTGGATTTTTTTTTTACCCCATTACATTTTTTTTTATAATTCAAAGTATTTCCAACCAACTAATCAGCCAACCATCCATCTTTCTAAAACTATGGAAAGAGATCCTTAAATGTACAATTGCTTCAATATTGTATGTAGAAAAAGTGATTGTTTTATTGTTGTTGTTGACCCCCTAAACAGATGGCACCAGGCAAAAATCGTATGCACAAGATATGTTGACATCTCTTCATTATTTGGATAATCGCTTTGTTCAGCCCCGTCTAGAGAGTTTAGCTTCTAGAAGTCGTTGGAAAGAGCAATATAAGGTATAATTTGTTTTTAATCTTGGTTGGGGGGGGATGGGACCTCTCAAGTCAGTGGGGTATGTAGACCTCTCAAGATTTCAATTTCCAGTCAGATGGAATAGTCTTCTAAAGTATTGGCATTTCTCTTTTTGGGGTAATTCTTTTCTAAAGGCTGTTATTGTTTTAATCATCCACACTATCTAATCTGTTCAATAATTAGATGGTTTTAAATGATAACAACTTTGGAACATCTCTAGGGCTTAGCCTATCTTTTAAAACCAGGAGATTGTCTCACACAATGTTAATTGTTATTTCAGAAGAGATAGTTCTATAGACAGAGAACTTTGAGAAACAGTGGTTTAATTTACACTGGTTTCAGCCAGATATGGTGGTGCATGCCTGTAATCCCAGCAGCACAGAAGGCTGAGGCAGGAAGATCTCAAGTTCAAAGCCAGCCTCAGCAAAAGTGAAGTACTAAGCAACTCAGTGAGACCCTGTCTCTAAATAAAATACAAAATAGGGTTGGGGATGTGGCTCAGTGGTTGAGTGCCCTGAGTTTGATTGCTGGTTACCGAGCTGCCCCTCCACCCAACCCCCACCCCCCAAAAAAAATCTTGTTTTTTTACTGGAGGACTTTATAGGAGCACTAACATTTGAATTTGTACTGTATATCTTCAGTAGGGAGTTTAGAATGCAATGCTTCCACATTTGTGTTTTACTATGAGGTTCCTTTGTATGAAATACAAAATGGATGTTTGATTTTCATGAAACAATTTGAAAAACATTGTCCTACATGGTGTTTGACATACTTGTTTATCTTAAATTTTGTTATTCTACCAATTTGGGGGATTCACCTTTTTAATTTATAAGATTTCCTGGATTCCATGTTATTTTCTAGATTTCTTGCATATAATCTCTAATAGTAGAAGATATACCACATGATTTTTCAGGGTCTTTATATTTCTACTTCCAATATTCTATGATCTAATGTTTGTCAAGAAGGAAAATGGTAGATAATGGAAGTTCAAGTCCCTTAAAATACCTCTATTACTTTAATCATTAGCTACCTCATTTATCAGAAGATGTGGTTCCATGCAAGGCCTGTTCATTCTTGAATTACATGATGATAAATTTGCCATCGATGCTTAAGTTTCAGAGATGGCTATGGGATTACAGGATTAGGAGACTTCAAGTTAGAGGATGGCTTGAGTTTAGGGTCAGCATATATATATCTTTTTGATTTGGGGTAAAGTTTTAACCTCTCTGAGCCTGTTTTATCCTCAGATATGGAAAATGTTTACCTACTTTGAAGGGAAATATTCACTTACTTTGAAGATAAAATGTATAGCAGAGCTTTTATAATATGCATAAAATTACTTTAATAGAAAGAAAATAGTATATATTTCTAGAACATTTATCTTTTACCAAGTAATTTACATGGAAAGTAAACTTATTTAATCTTTAAAGAACCACATAAGGAAGTCACTGTTTTTCTCCTAAATTTTACAAATAAAGAAACTGTAACTCAGAAAAATTAAGTAACCTAAGATTTTACCGCTAGTACTTTATACAGGCCAACATTTAAACTTATAGTCAGACTCTTAAAACCCATACTTTTATGCCACATTATGCTTTACTATACTATGATAGATTATAGTGAATTTATACCACCCCATGCTAAAGTAACTGTCAGATGTGCAAAAATATTATAGACAGATAATTCAGGAAGATCATAAAATGAGCTGAGTTATACTGTAAAAGATAAGAAATAATAAACAAAATAAACAAATAATAAAATCACAATACTTTAGCCCAACAAAGTTTGTCACTTATATGTCCAATGTGAGTCATCAAGAGTTCTCTGCTCATTGCAGTCACTCAGAAAATCAAAATGACAGAGCTTTCAACTCACGTTTCATCTCAGCATGTGTGTGCTTCCATGAGTACCACAAACACAGGAAGGAAAGATGGTTAGTCACGTATTCAGTCTGAATTTCAGCCTGTAAGTGACAGGTCAGAAAGTGTTGTGAAGTATGATAAATATGAAAGTTAAACAAAAACAATGTTTTAAGTGTATTAGAAACTTAATTACCATTGACTGGTAGAAGATGCATATGTATATTAGTAACCATGTAAATATGCTCATGAGTGCATTTCAAATATTGTAGTAAAACCTAATATGCATTACTAATTAGAACAGTAGTGTCTAACACAAACCTAGGTTATAAGCATAATTACTCAGGTTTAAATAACTTCACAGCTTAAGGAAGCTTATTTTTGCACACTAAGTGTTTTCTCAATCTTTTACTCATTAAATAATTCCAACTATTAGACTGTTCTTATCAGTATTGGACAAGTAAAAACCTTAGTTCCTATGTGATTATTTTCATAAGACTATAGCAAGTAACCATGAGAGGATTAAATCATTTCTTGAATATTTTGTGGGAATATGATATAACTCATATAATGGAGAATGGATTATTTTTTTCTCAATTTTTATGTAGCTTAAATTAACTCATCTTGTTCTTATCCTGATTTTATGCTGCTCATTTTTTCTTATTTTTAATACCTTATTGATGTTAATTAGAAATAAAAGGTAGAAAAGAAGTAAATTAAAATCCATTGAGAACAATACTTCATACACTAAGTAGTAACTCATAAAAGAGATATGAAACATTTTTTTCCTAGTCTTGACTATTTTTTTTAAGAGCCAGGACTAAAAATTCATGTTTAAGCGACTGGAATAGTAGTAGAGCCCGTGCCTCATATGCAGGTAGCCCTGAGTTTGATCCCAGTACTGAAAAAAAAAATTATCCTTTCATTTAAAATTAATACCAACTCTGTGCTCAGTATTAAGAAATATCAGTAGATTTTGCTCTTATATTTTGATTTCTAAGATATATTTAATTGGGTTAATTCTTATTTTATTTTAAGCTCCCTTATATTTTTTAATTGTTTTCAGGAGCGAGTAGAAAATTATTCTAATGTGAGTATCCACTGGAAGAATCCTGAAAACTGTTCCTGTCAGGCTTGTGGATTGCATCGCCACTGCAGATATTCAGTGCATTTATCAGGAAAGTTGTATAATACCAGGACTATGGAAACAGATGATTTTATGTCACATGATAAACAGGTATTTTTTATCTTACTTTGGTTTTCAATGCTTAGAAATTTCAATGCTTATCAGTTCATAAATTTTCACAAATAACCCTAAGTAATTTTCACATAGAGAAAATACTAGAAGGAAAAAGAGTGCAGGTTTTTTTAATGTGATAATATGTGTTATATAGCATATTCTTTCAAAATTCTGTGAGATAATAAAATCAGTGCATCTTTTCTAAGTATGTACATCACCCAAATTGTGAGAGGAGGAGAATACAGGATAAAAATGATAAGGAAGATTACGGGGAAGAGCAAGTACGAGTTGTCTTTGAATCCAAAGCAGAATTTGACTGATGTGAAAACTTTTATGGTAGTTAATTCACCAAATTGGTAGTCCACAAGTTACTAATTGAAGGTGCCTATTCATCCTATCATAAGAGAATTAAACTTAAACTATAACAGAAGCATTTCAGAGTTCAGAGCAGTTACCACATGCTTAAGTTGGTGCTATGAAGAATAAGTGTTTGACACACAAGAACATAGAATACAATGTGAACAAATGCTGACTACTTCTCTTTATTTGTTTAATCTTACTTTATAAGAATACTCCATTTATAAATACTACTGATTGTGCATATTCTTGGAGCATGTGTGTGTGTGTGTGTGTGTGTGTGTGTGTAGGAATAGAAACCCAAAGTTGTTTCTGAATTCTCCAAGTTATTAAGGTGGAAATACTAGTTATTTGAATTATTCTACTAAATTGAGTAGTATGATTCCTCAGTACTATTATGCAATAATTGACCAGATCCCTCTGGATGCAAGAATCATTTGGAAAATTTTAATTTGTTTGGCAAGTTACTATAAAAATGTTTCTTTTCTCAGTATAATTATACATATATCCCCATTGTTTAAAACTGGTTTATAACTCTTTATAAGACAAGACATCTAGAATCTGAGAAAAAGTGGTTTAATACTTAAAGGACCATTTTCTGGTGCATAAATCAAAGATACTACTGTGCATTCATAGTCCTTGCTATCTATAACTAATACTAAAGAAGAAAGTGAAGTTGGAAAATTAATTCCAGAGCTCTGACATTCTTGTAAAGGAATAAGATTGTATATAAAATGGTTGATTGAAATGTCTAAAGAATAAAATGTCTCATGAAATAAAAGTCGTATAATGAAAAATATTAAAGTTAAATAGAATTTTTATTCTATTTAAAGGCATGGAAATAAAACTATCTGAAGATGCCAGTTGATATGTCTTAAAATAGCAAAGTATTTTTAAATCAAATGATAAAATGCAACATTGTCAAGGTTATATCAAAACTAGTAAGTTCAAGGAAAGTAAGAATCCTAGAGGAAGAAAGGGTTTGATATATATTTTAAAATACTGGATGGCTACATATAACTAGAGTTGAAAGCTAAATATAGTAGTGCCTGAAATTTGTTCTATGCAGAGCAGGTCAATATAAACACAAGTTGATATGATCATGAAATTAATTGAAGTATTATTTATAAGCATTGATAGACAAAAATTAGAAATAATTCAAATAAAATATTAAGGTAGTGTTGTGATTAATAGTCTGTGATACATCAGCATTGCATGATAGAATATAACTATTAAAATAATATTTTGAAGGTTATATACTATAGCTAAATGAAAGTGAAATAATAAGCAGTGTATATGCTCTCTTTGCATTATGTAAGAATGTATGTATATATAAATAACTACATGCAAACATTAACCTAGCTATTGTGTATGTTAAGTGACTGGTATTGAAATTTTTTAATATTAAATTGTTGCTTCATTAAATGTTTCTTCAAAAGGAAGACTCACTAAAATTTATTTTATATCCTGTTGAACTGCAGTATCAATGCATTTATGTAAAGAAAGAAAAAAGAGAAATCAACGTATTTATAATCTAGGGCATTAAAAAACTGTGCCCACCCCCACATCCATCCTCAGGTGATTTTGAAAACTAATTCTCCATTTTGTGGTTCTGCTTATAGATATATAAAATCAAAACTCTAGGATTAACTAGAGTTCTTTTTTAAGGTACAAATAATACTTTAAAAGAATTCACTTAACATTGAATATATTTAATGATAAAACTTTTCCCCTCAATAAAGATTAGCTTCTTTGAAAGAAAGGATGCTTTGATTAAAGGTAGAATTAATTTGGAAGTAATTTAGTTACAGCAGTGTAGGGTAGGGTACTGAAATGAGAGACCTGGACCTCAAGATTGTGGTGAAATCTGAGGGCATAAATGAGAAGGAAGGAAAGAGATGTTCAACTTGAAAAGCATTCAGAGAACTATATATTGAATCAGTTTTCACTTTGTCCAGTCTGTCTGAAATTCTTAAGATGTTTAATATCTGAAGGGAAGAAGTAGTGATTTTGAGAAAAGTAGCAGTGGTAATGTGTCCAGGCAAAATAAGCAGACCAAGAGAAAATAGAATCCCTTCACTGTTCTATCACACTGTTTCTGGAAACCTAGAAACAAACTTCTTTTCTCTTTCCTTGAGAATCCTTTTTTTCCCCCTTTGTCCTCCATACTTTAACTTCCACAGAGAGCTAAGCTACTCTGTATATAAATGAGAACCTAGAAAAATATCCTCAAAACCTACCAAGTCTGCTTAATGAAAGTTTTATTCTTTTCCTTGCCCTAGGGTGTTAGCCTATGTAAATATACATATCCACATAACATAGCTAATAAATTACAACTCAGATGCTTTCTGTGTTTTGTAATTTAGCATCGTCTGCTTCTGGAAAATTTGGTAACAATTTTTAGTTCTGTTTCCAATCTCTGGATATATATGATCAGTCAGTTCACATTGATAACTGAAGTGACTCAATTATTTATCAGTTCACAGAACTGTGAACCCTGTATAGTGGATTAGAAATTGGGCTGGGTTTGTGGCTCAGTGGTAGAGTGCTTGCCTAGCACGTGTGAGGCACAGGGTTCAATCCCCGGCAACACATAAAAATAAATAAAATAAAGGTATTGTGTTAAAAAAAAAGAAAGAAATCACTTATATATCATATTGCTTATCTGCTTTGTGAACACTCAGCACTTATTTTTCTGTCTCTGGCAAATATTTTATCCTATCTTTCTTATTTAAATAGTTTTCTATTATAAAGAAATATACTGAGATAACCAAAATAGTTTGTGAATATATTTCTGGACGTTTAAATAAGGAAACTATTATAAGCACAGATTAGATTTACCTGTTTCAGTACTTAATACAAATGGAATACTACAGTGTAAGGTATGTTTTACTGGATTATTTAATTCCTATGGTGAAGCACAGTGGGCTGTAACAGTACACTAAACACAGAATGAGGTAAGGGGATAAGTTCACTTGGAATATTACACATATTATATGCATCTACTGTATTCTATGAAAACTTATAAGAGTAGGGCTCTTTCATATAAAATGAGATTTTTCCATAGAAAATGTGATCATATTTGGGGGGATATGGCATGAGAATATTCTAAAGGTAATTCAGGATTTTCTGACTTTCATGAAGGTAAGTAGAAGTCAAGAGGGCAGGAATTAAAATGAAAAGATGTTTTTAAAGAATACTAAAGAATTGAGATAAGAATTTTTAAACACCTTTCCTTCCCTTTTGTTCTAACTTTAAAATCCCATAAGATAAATTCTTTTTGTTTTGTGAAAATATAGAATACAGTATGATGGAACTACACATCTCAATATTATTTGACTATATTTTATTCCAGAACATCTATAGGAGACTTCTTTCACAATCTACTATAATGGCAGAAGTAGAAACACACAGGGTACTACTAACAGTAGCCACGGCAGCTGTTGTGATTCCTTTTTATTTAAAGTGGGGTGTATTGGCAATTGAATTGTTGAAATGTCATTTACCACCAGGATTGGTTTGATAATAATGCTAAAATGGAAAAGCTACTTTAATAAACAAGCTGAGACAATAATACCTGTTTTACTTCTAATGATCCAAAAAAACAGGAAGGTTTTTGCAGAAGTATGAATGGAAATCTGAACATGCTTTTCTTTAACTTTGGGGGATTTTAGGAAAGGTTATAAGGTGCCCAAAATATTATCTCAACAAGAAAATGTGTCAAAGATCTGGATATTGCCAATCATAACAAATTCATTTTTTGTAACAAATTCTTGGCTTCTCTGTTAAAAATCCTTATGTGTTTTCTCCCTTGCAGTATAGCTTCAGAAGAAAAGTTAAGTTCTTTATCAGAAATAATGCAAGTTTGTAGATAAGTATTAAAGCTTATTGTACTTATACTGCACAATCCATTATGTTTAAGCATAGAGACAAATACATAAGTGAATAAGACATCTATTTATTCAAGTTACTCCATGATAATATTATGATCATGTCAGAATTTTGGGACCCCTTCTGATATTTTCTACAATGAGTGAAATAATGTAGGTTAAAATATATTTCATTTGGTTAGTGCAATGATGCTATCTTCCTATTTTAGCAATAGGTTTATATAACAAACTACAGGCATTCAAAACATTCTGAAGGAAAAAATGTTCTGGTTAGTTGATTTCACAAAAAGAAATATTTTTAATCATAAATCCTAGAAGTCCATAGAAACTTAGAAATTTATATTCTTACAGCTGGCAGACAATAAAGTATCAATGCACCTTATTAACACACTACATTGATTAAAGCAACAAATAAAGCAAAAGTTATTTTTGCTTTACAAAGTTTTGGAGTGGGGAGTATTTAGTAAAAAATTTCCAATCTTAATATTGGTATGGTATAAGAGTTTGCTTCACTTTTATATGTTGCTTAAATTAACAAATGATTGCAAATCAAGCATTTTTAGCTCAGTTAATATGTACATGTATTACTTCCATGTCCTTTCTTGCTTCCATGTGTGTTCATCTTTCTCCCTTACAAGCCATTTCTCTCTTCCTTCCCAGACTGGGTTAAATGTGTTTTCAAGACTTAGTTTGGGGGTAACTGATTTGGGAACTTGTTTCTTCTCTGGGTTGGGTTAAGTGCCCCTCCTCCTCATTAGCCTCTTGATAACATCTTGTATATAATTCTCCCAATACTGTAAGCTCCCTAATAGATAGCATATCTTTTTTCTCTTATCTCCAGTGACTGGTTATATAAATAAAAGAAGAAAAAGTAATCACTATATAAACAAAATAAATAAGAATGCATTTTCTAGGTTCTAATGTTAAAGAAAATTTGAAAACAAGAAAGATTATATACTCATTACTACTATATTACTTCATAGGTGATACAGTAATGTTTATTTCTTGATATAGGTGTTTACTGTTGGCAGAATATGTGCTGATCGTACCAGAATTTATCATAAACTGAAACATTTTAAGTTCAAACTCTACCAGGAATGTTGCTCTCTTGCAAAGACAGAAGAAGTTGAGGATGAACAGGTTAAAGAAACAGTGGAAAGAATTTTCAGTCAGTCAAAAGAAAATGGCTGGATTAAAGAGGTAAGGTAAATATAGAAGAACCCTCTCATTCTGTAGATTCTAGAGCCTAATTATGATCAGGAAAAACCCACAAATTATTAGAAGACAGTGAAATTTAAAAGACAATCTTTTCTTCGCCCCATTTTTTTGTATTTTCTCTTCTTTCACACATTCCTTTCATGCTTATCATTACCCTACCCTGAATAGATGTCCTGATATTCCAATAATTCACTCAGTTCATCAGATAAATTTTAATTAATAAAATGTTTGTCCCTTAGTGAAGGATCTCTATCCTTTCATATATGTATTCCATATATATGTATCCCCTTATTTTCTTTGACAAGGTATAGGACTCAACTCTGCTTGTCTGCTTCCTATTCTTTAGAACAGTTCTTGTGACCTGAGAGTGAAGAAGCACCTGGTGCCAATCTGAGGAAAGGATCTTCCCTGCCAGTTCTAATACCACCCACATCCTCTTCTTGAGGACATGGGACTGAGCAGTGAGCAATGTAACTGAAGATCAAGGGGAATGCGGAGGTTTCAGGCCATCACACTGATTTTGATTTCCCCATATCCTGTTGATCACTAAATTTGATATCAGGAATAGAGTGGGGTTTTGAAGAGTGCACTGGATTCCCAAAGATCTACTGGCAGCTCATAGCTCTGGTCTGCTCACAGAGCTTTTAGAATTGTTTATAGTGCACGAAAAGAATACTAATATGATTGCAGTCTTCTAAAACAAGTCTAGTTACATGGATAAGTAAGAGAGAACAAACAGTAGATTTCAGGCACCTCATATCAATGGTATATTCTTTAAAAAAAAAACCTGCTTGAGATCCATTGCCTAGGCTAGATCATAGGGAAATTTGTAGGTGGGAGCAAGGGTGGCAACAGATCTTGGCAAACAAACTTCTGCAGAGGGAAAGAAAAACAATGAAACAAATTTCTTAGAACATATCATCTTCAGTGGAGGTCTTCTAGTCTAGAGAATGACTTCATGGTTGGTTTCCATTTTGACAATAATTTTCCCACTTCATACCACCTAGTGATCTTGCCTACCTCTGACGCCTTGATCCTTAAATCTTCTTTCATTCATTTTACTCTCTTCATCTTTTTATCTTTTCCTTTGCTTCTACTTTGCCTACTCCAGATCTCCTCCCATCCTGCTTGTGCTTTTCCATTTGTGCTCTTCCATAAGGGAAGAACCATCATTTATCCAGTAACACATCTTCATTTTCCTAGATGTTAAATTCTTAAGTGTTTTTATTGATGCCTTTAGAGGTTGCCAACCCTCTAGTGAAATTGGAAAACCTATTGTGATACTACAGTTAAAAAGGATTGTGTACTAGGGATAGAAAAAATCACTGTGTACTTATCATTTATATTATGTAAAATTATATATGGGAAACCTTAAATTTCTTGAAAAAACAAAAAGCATTTCCAAATCATGTACCTTCAAGAAAGCTTAACCAGGTTTGGGACAACAGAAGGGTCCTGGAATAAGAAATATATTCTTAGGGAGGAAAATAACCAAATCTCACATTATGTATATAGAGAATAACAATTAGCATTAGGCAATGAAGGCATTTCAAGATTATACATGTTTAGGACAATATATATATATTCATATTAAAATAGCAAAGAGCTTCATTTTCTTTTTGAGATTTTTCCCTCACTTTAAAAAATATTTGTCTATGAGAATTTCTCCAAAGGTTTCCTAGAAACCATGAGGTTTATAGCCAACATAAACCCATATGCAGTTTTTTGTGCTGTGATAAAATTTCAGAATTTGTCAAATTTGTTTACTCTGATTTTATCGCCCTCACTCTGTTTATCCTTCTCTGTGTGAGCCTTTATGTGACAACACTGCATGTGTTTTGTGATGCTTCCCTTCACTGGCTGCAATCTTGTGGCCATAGTTACTATGACCCTTTAGAATGTCTGGGCTCAGTGCAACTTGAATGCCTATCTCAGTGGCTATTTCTGCTTTCACCTCCCAATTAAACCAGATCCTTCTTTTGCTTTATACAAAGTATTTGTTCCTATCTTTCTGCTCCCAGCTTTTACCCACACTTTGCTTTTACCCTTACCTATCCCTTCTCTTCCAAGCACTTTTCTTCCATTACCTGAGGGTATCTCAGTGTATTCTCAAACACCTGCCAACTAGACTTCATTCTTCTTGTTTTTACTCCATAGCACTAAATGAGGATTATCTGTTTCAGTCTATTTATACTAAAGGAATGTAGAAGTAACTCAAATATAAAAAAGAAGAAGTGATAGGAACATTTAATAAAACCAAAATACATAGCAAATACATATGTCTCATTTTTAAATAATATGTGACAGGCAAAATTCTAACAAATGTTTTTTTTTTATTAAGAGGAAAGTTCATATAATGATGAAGTTTCCTAGGAATTGAAAATAAGATTGTTGGGGTGGGGTAATAGATATATTAACACCAGGAAGTGATGAAAGTATGTTATATTAAGTCAGTTTTGCACTTGGATCTGACATAATTTTCTTATATACATATATGAATATTCCACAGTGAATCTCACCATCATGTACATCCACTAGTCTAGGGTCATAATTAGAATAAGATATATTCCATGCTTGTATAATTATATCAAAATGGGTTCTACTGTCATGTATTAAAAAGAGCCAATAAAATAAAAAATAAATTATAAATTTATTGCATAAAAGTTATTATATAAAGAAGAACTTTAAATTATAACTAAAAACTCTTCCCTTTTCTTAAATCATTCTGATTTCTTCTCTTTTTTCCCTACCTTTTAACTTAACTTTCCTTTTTTCCCCCCCCTATCCTTTAAGATGATGTTTCTCAAAACATTGCCTTTGACAGCCTATATCAAAATCACCTAGTTTGTGAAAAATATATATTCTCTGGCTTCATCTAAACTTATTGAATGAGAATCCTTGATGGTGATAAACATCCAATGTTTTAAAAATTGAGTGATTAAGTTATATACAAGGACCACTGCTTGAAAGGACATATTACATTAGATTATGTCTTCAGCTTCTCAAAGCTGCTTTGACAAATATATTCCTTTCTGTAGATCTAGGCTGCTACTTCTTAGTAAAGGACTCCAAGCTCCTTTTATTTTCTGACTGCTTTCCCACAGTCCCAACTGTTTATATTAGTAAGCCCATCTGGTACTATAAGAGAGTAGTCTTCATTATTAAAATAAGATCTAAACTCTCCAAATGCTCAGTGAAGAAGACCTAAGGGAGCTGTATCTTTAGGTGGAGAAAATGGCAAAAGTAATACCAACTGTCTTTTTCTCTGTTTCACTGTCCCTTTTGAGGTTTTTTCCATTTTTGTCATCAAAGCTGCTACCTTCTTGTCCCCCCTCCCCACTTTAAATCTCAGAAACACTATACTACTATAATGGTTAAATGCATGGATTTAAGTATTTGCTCTGCCATTTACTAGCAATAGAATTTGGAGGTAAGTTAGTTTATTTCTATAAATCTAAAGTTTCTATAAAACAGGAATTAAATAATATGAATTAGGATTTTGATTTTGGAATTAAATAAGTAGCACATTTTAAACATTTATTATAGGTCCTAGCAATTAAAAAGTGATCAATTAATGTTAGCTATTATTTGTAATAAAAGCAAGGAGAGATTTTGCATCCTTTATAATATATTGGATAGAGCCAGATACTGTGGCACACAACTGTAACCCCAGTTACTCAGGAGGCTGAAGCAGAAGGATAGAATGCCTGAGATCAGCCTAGGCAATGACCTTCTCCCAAAGTAAAATTTTAGAAAAAGAGCTAGGGACATATCTTAATGGTAGAGTGTTTGCCTAGCATGTGTGAGGTCTTGGGTTCAGTCCCACTATTGAAAAAAAAAAAAGATAAAAGATAAATTAAAATTTTCAGGAACAAATTTAATAAATAATAAAGAAAAACAACATAAAAGAATAATAATAATAATAATAAAAGATAATAGTAAAAAGATAAATAATAATAATAAGATAAAAGCATCAAACAACTAAACTTTTGAAGTATACATTTCTTAAAGTACTTTACTTATATCTAGTAAAACCTATCTGAGACTAGGCCAAGAAAATTCCTAAGTAGTCTTATAAGTTATTCCTCCTCTTGTTCTTTTCTTCCTCCTTTCCTGAGAAGGTGATGTAATCAGAGATCTTGGGGTTATAAAAAAAGGTTTCATGGCCTTATCTAGAAGGAAGATGGACTCCTCATAGTCCCTTCTATAGATCTCTACCACCACAAGGTTCTTAGAGATCTTCTCTCATCTTGATAGGGATAGACCCTCAGAGTTCATATCAAGAAACCATAAGATTACATAACCTCCTCAACTGAAGAAAGCATTTTGCACTCTGTATATCCCAAACTGAACTCATATATCTCTTTTGCTCCCCCAAGCTACTTGTGAAATGGCCCTGCTCTTTCTCCTACTCACTCACCTTGATATCTCAAAATCATCCTCGACTCCTCTCTTAACTTGTTCCACCCTGTTCCTTATCCTCCATCTTCATTGCTATCACTCAAATTTGGGCCCTCATGACCTAACTTGTAACCATAGGTTCATAATTGGTTGTGAAATCGTTCTAGAATGGCTGTTTTACCAATTTCCTTAAAATATACCTCAGATCAGGTCAGTCCTCTGCTCCCAGATCTTTAGCACCATTCCATGGTCTGTTAAATTATTATTCCACTCCTAACATACTTTTTATTATCTGACCTTAATCTCTTTAGTTCAATCTTATCTCTCTCAATTCCTTAGAGTATAGTCAAAGCCCATACTTCCTTATCAAGTTACTGTTGGATGAACATGTTATCTCTTGCAGAAAAATTTGCTAACTTTTTGCCTACAAAATCTTTGTGCCAAGGACAGCTTTAATGTCATTCTTTTCCAACCACTTCAGCAAACCATGACTTCTGAACCCTCATAACATGTTTTTACTCCTTCATGACACTTATTATGATTGTTAATAGTATAGTACTACTAAGCTCTAGTCTCCATTGGGGCAGGGAAAGTATCTTTTCGAAATTCTGTACCTTATACAGTCATTAGTTTTGACATATATGTCCTATAAATATTTTTAATGTTATTAAAGTAATTAAATTTCTACTATAAATATTATAATGGAAAATTATAATTTGTGAGTTATGAAATTAATTATACTATTGTTTGATTTTTTACCAATGCTTTCTATGAGTTAGATATTTTTATTTGAAATTGAGTTCCTAACTATAATAAAAAGATATTTGTTCCCAATTACTATGAAATGCATTTCTGTTGTAGTTTGAAAAATGTGTGTAGTTTGAAAAGGCCTAGCTTATCTTCACTGCTTTGAGTTAAATAACTAGCTTTTTCATTGTATATGCAGAAATATGGTCAACTTGAAGAATATCTCAATTTTGCGGATTACTTTCAAGATGAGAAGTTTGACTGAATTATAATACATTTCCTTCGGAGAAGATTTTATAAATTCCTGTAAATGTGAAGATCATGAACCTTGTTTCACTGTACTATGTGGCATTTTATATGTTTTTTGTGTATCTTCAAGCAAAATATCTTGTTTAAAACATGTTCATTTAATTTCCCATGAAATGGCACTCTATATCTGATAAAACTTTTATCTGCTGTACATGGAAAACAAGCTTAATAATTTTTAAGCCCATTAATGTATTTTTAAAGTTATCTAACAATGCCTTTATTACAGATGACTATCAAGTGAATGAGCTAATCATGTTCTGTCAGTTTAGTAGAAATATATTGTATTTTAAAATATTTAGCCTAACATCTCTATATATTTAATGTTGAATCTCTGTTTGGGTCTATTTGTTATCCTTTTACAGTATTAAATGGTTTTCTTCACTAATATATTTTTTATTACTATCATCTAAACTGCCATAGAAGAAACCTCAATGTATCATTCAGTAAAGTCCCCTTGCTTCATAATCAGACTGTAGTTTTTCTGTTCCAAATAGAGGAGTGCTTTATGCTTTTTCTAAAGTTTTCCTTAAAAATGAATTTCGGGCCTCTGAGAGTCTTTCAAACCTCACATTCAAGAAAAATTTCATGATCTGTATTTTCATACTTTATGTTATTTCTTTTTTCTATTCAGTTTTGTGTAGATGTTAATGATTAATATATATTTTATTTTTACCCATAACTTTCCCAATATATGCGTATATGTTAGGGTCTGAAGATTCCAGAGACAAGTTCAGCTAAAAACACTTTAAAAGTATATTTTGGTATCTGCATTACTTTGCACATCTTCATTTTCCCAGATTATAATAAACAGTTGCAGAGTGAACAAATGGACCCTGTCTATTCCATCTTTAATTCTCAATAATGGTATTCTAAAAGGATCTCTTCTACTGTGGAATTTTAGATTCTTTTTCTTACTGGAAGTCTTAATTGAACCTCGCTTCATCTATTAATGAGATTCACAGCATGGACCTCAATGTATGTATATACATAATAAATATCTACATTTTGTTAAATCCTTACAAGGAAGATTAGTTCATATTTTCTGTAATTCATTTTCTGTAATTATCCCTATTATTATTTTAAACAAATTGGATTTTAAAGACTCACAAAGTGGTGAGAATACTGATGCTGATGCTTAATAAAAAATGCATACATTCTTCAAAAGTGTGAGATAAACATTTTGGTCATACATCTATATTCATTTTATTTCTCTGGAACATGGAGGAATAGTCCTTAACGCCAGGGAATAAAAATTAAGCCATAGTTAAAAGGTGAAGAAGATGAAAGGACTCAGTTCAAAAAGAATCAAGACAGAATTATACAAATGATAGTCAAGGTGAGGAAGATGAAGGATCATGAATGATTTGTTAAAAGAAGGCCAGAGAAAATGATCTTTAAAGTTTCTCTGATGACTCTGGAAGTACCACTTTGCATCTGACACATGACAAGCTTGAGATAGTGGACGAGGAAAAGGACTTCAACCTGAAAACTGTAAAACTTTTATTATTTTTAACTGTATGCAATAATTTATAAAATTAAGGCACTAATAATTCCAGGTACTTACGATAGTAGCTTATGTAATTCTGGGTCAGGCCCGTTGTTGGCTTGAATTGGTCTTTTCCAATTAGAACAGCTGATTGTTGATCACAAAATGCATACAGGTAGTTTTTCTGATGTCTGGGGATATGCTACTTTAGTGGATGTTTGGAAGATACAAGAAGTTTTTAAGTACAAAGTACATGGTAACACCAAAAGAATGACAAAGATACAGGCTGTTAGGAGTGGAGAATTAGTATGGTTTAGGGGACCCAAACAAGTAGTTTTATAAGAAAATACAAATGTCAAAAAATAGAATTAACCTTAACTGCTATTATGACATACTGTATTATATTATAACCAATATCATTGATCCAATTATAACACTAAAAATAGGTTGCAAGCTTATAAATCTCACATGACAATGTTTTTAGATCTGGGCAGTTATTTCTGTAGTATTAGTTAATATAGCATTAGATAGCTGTGTATGATGAAGATACGAGTAAGGTGAAAATAGAAAAGTAAAAGAAGTCATGATTGAAAACTAAACAGAAGTTTTGGGAAATGAGAGAAGGCATAAAACAGGAAAAATGAGTGGGGGGATAGTTATTTCATAATTGAGTATAGTTAACTAGGTTTCCTAACTTTGTACACTCATATTCAAGTGAGTAGTTGTATCCACTGCTCATTCCTTGCAGGTATTATGGGGCTTGTTTACCATGAGTGTTGACTGGGGGATAGTTGCACTCCTTGAGCTACTATGAGAGTAGTTTGACTTCCTTGTAATTCTTTTCACACTTGATTTTTTTTTATTTCTTACATACATGACAATAGTGGAATGCATTACAATCACAATTATCCATTCACAGCACAATTTTTTGTAACTCTGTATACAAAGTATGTTCATGCCAAATTATGCCATTATACATGAGCTCTCATTATTTTTTTGCATTACAATTCTTAATACACTTTTATACCACAATTTATCATATCTCTGTTAGTATACAAGGCATGTTGACACCAAATTCATATCTTCATACGTGTATTTGTATAATGATGAGGGTCTCCTTCCACCATCTATGCTATTCCCCTTCTCCCTCCCTTTCCCTCCCATCCCTATTCCCTATCTAGAGGTAATCTTCCTCCCATGCTCTCCCTCCCTACCCCATTTTGAGTCATTCCCCTTATATCAGAGAAGACATTGGGCATTTGTTTTGGGGGGGGATTAGCTAAAAAAACGATGGTTAGATGCCACGAAGTAGGTGGCAATGCCTTAACTGTATGCATGTTGTCAGGTCCCAGAGCCTCTTCCATCCTTGTCAAGGGGAGTTCTAACCTCTCTTTTCATACAACACTCACACTTGATTTTAAGGCAGCAAGCCTGATGGGTAAGAGCATAGGTTTGAAGTCAGTCTTGAGTTGGGTCCTTGTTATATGAACTGGAGATTAATTTTATAAGCCTCAGTTTTCTCACAATTGGGGTTATTAATAGCTATCTCCCAGGATTGCAAATCAAGGGAGATCATTTATATGAAGTGCTGTGCCTGAAACCAATTTTTTTAAATAAAGTCATAAGTGATGTGAGTAGAAATGAAGAGTCGATAATAAATAACATCTTGAAATCAATGGCTATGCTGTATAAGGGTAAATGTATGCAAAAGACATTCCAAAGAAATGTCCCATACCACTGGAATATAGTATGAATATGTGCTTATATTATGAAACTTTGCTTCCCAAGCTTTTAAGATATGTCTGTGTATAGCATAGTTCAGTTTATTACCCAATGCATACATGTACTGAAATATCTATGCTACCCCATAAATATATAAATTTTTGCATTCATTTATGTGTCATTTGATGTAAATTTATAAACCACTTTGATCTTTTAATTTATATGATTAGGGATAGCTTATTTGACCAAGAATTCCATGCTATTAATCAAAACCTATGTTACTGCAGGGTGATAGAGTGAACAGTAAAATTTAAACTTAAATATTACATTTTTTATTTTATCAGGCATGATTGCTGAATTTCAAATACCCATAACAGTGAAAGAAGATATTGTCTAATGAATACAACTTTTAAAAAATCAAATATAAAATGATCAAAACTCTTTCACATTTAATGACACCTCATGGCAGAGTTCGCCATTCAAATTTTGTTTATTTAACAAAGATATATTTCTGCCTTCCTTCACATGAATAATAAGGAAATTAGCCTTGAATGGGGCAGACAGAAATATGTTCCCATGAAAAGCTAAATGTTTTATAGCTGAGTATCCCTAATTTAAAAATACAAAATCTGAAATGCTTCTAAAAATCTGAAACTTTCTGAGTACCAACATGATGAATTTTTGGAACATTTCAAATTTTCACCTTGGGGATATTCAATTGGTATAATCTATACAAATATTCCAAAATCTGAAAAACTCAAAAAGCCAAAACACTTCTAGTATCCAAGTATTTTTGGATAAGGGATACTTAACCTGTATTCTATCAGAGTATACTTGCCTCCACTTCTAACCTAACATTTGTAAAAATAAAATGGAACTACAGTAGGTCAGTCTATGGGGAACTAAACTGAATAAATCCAGTCTTGAAATGTTTGCATTTATTTTGACCATTCATTTCTGTCCAGGGCTCAGTTTGAAGCAGGATCATGTTACTGAAATGCCAGAGTTGGTTTAAATTAATGAAGCTCCTCTGCTTGAGAACTCAAATCCAATGACATCCAAATTAGTCCTCCTAGATTATTTTTGGTTCCAACTTCCAATATTGTACTTACCTTAATTTACTCTCCATAATTAATAGACAAGCAGAATCCACTATACGGCTGGCTAAAAACAGGATTATCTAATATTTAGGAGAAAATGTTCTTTGTAAGAGATCTATTTGGTTTGTGTTATTAAACTTGAAAGTCATCTGGTACACGTTGATTTTCTTCATTGTATATGTAAACCAGATAGCTATAGAAAAGTCTTGTCTCGCATTTGGTTGTCATAAGCAATCTTAAATTTTTAAAGAAAAAAAAACTTGTTTTTCTTCTAGAACTGGTATTAGTAATTTCACCATCCGCATAAGGATTTTATTTATCCATATTGATATGCTTTGACCACCCAGATAAACCACCCAGAGAGACACAGATAGGAGGCAGACACTACACCTGCATGCCCTTAACGAAATAGCAATGATTTCCCTTCTCTCTACACCCCTCCCAAACACATTCGCCAACTTCCTTACTAATGAACATTTCCTCAACGCTTACCGAGTTCTCGCTAGGGTGCTCAGTGGTATCATTTACAACATATTGAAAGATGAAAATGATATCCTCAGAGGGGCATAATGTAGATCTGAAAGGGAAAATACATTCCCTGGCCGGGAATTTCTTAAACATTTAGAGAGAGTGAAATAGTTGCATAGGGGTTGGGGAATTTCCCCAGTCTTCCCCGCATCACCAAGTCTGAGGCTGGGCTGAGCGAAGTCTGTTGAGATGCGCAGCTTTGGGATTTACCTCTTCAGCCACTGGGAGGCCCTCTGCGTTCCCCTTTCCCCGGTGCCTGGCTGCGATTACTCACTTGAGTAGTGGCACCAGCCTTCCACCAGGGAGCCTCGAGCGAGCTCTCCCGCCCCCCCCCCCCCCCCAGCCCCCCCACCCCGCGGCTTGCTGGCTCTCTCTTTCTCCCTCTCTGTCTCACTCTCTCTCTTTCTCTCCCTCTCCTATCGGAGCACAATGAAAGCCTGTGTATCGCCTGTGTATCGCCGTGACTCCGGGCGGGAGCCAGTGTCAGCAAGCGGCTAACAACAGACGAGAAAGAGAAAGGAAAATACAAGCTACTTTTTTTTTTTCCATCTATAAAGCGGAGCAATACAAGAGATAGAACCACATTGCTTATTGCGAGTCCAGACCCTCAGATCCACTGGCCGGGGATGGAATGTACAAAAGTGGACAGAAAAGTGGCTGGACATGACTCGGTGCAATTTGCTGGAAGTTTGTAAGTTTGACCATCGTTTGTAAATTACTCTCGGAAGAGTTTGTGTCTCTTGATACTGTATGAGAATAGAGCCGGGGTGAGGAATAGAACCGTAAGCGGGAGAGAAAATATGTGTCGAAGGATCTCTCTCAGTGGCTAGCCACTTCAGATTGCTTTCATTTAAGGCTAGGAAACCTTAGAGGGAATGAGGATTTTGCCGGTGATTGGATTAGCAGAAGAAAAAAGCATGGTCCCAAAGTCCAATTACTGACATTGTTAACGATTGAAAAGCTGTCTCCTTTTGGGAGAAGACAACATCCTACAGCACCCCAAGGAGGAGATAACATTGGAGCAAAGGGAAAGAGGAAAAAATCAAGACAGTTGCCCTTGATTTTTGCACATTTTGAACATTGACTTCAAAACGTTCTGAAACAGCACTGTTGTTTTTTTTTTTGTTTGTTTGTTTGTTTTGTTTTGTTTTTGGTGTGTGTGTGTGTGTGTGTGTGTGTGTTTTTAACCTGAGAAAAAGTAAAGGCTGCCTGCCAGTTACATACACCATGGTAGAAATGTATTTCTCTGCAGATACATCTCCATAATTTTCTGAAACAACTAGGTGCGGGGAGTCCAGCTCTCTATTAATACCTCTCTCAATTCCTTTTTCTGTGTGTTTCTGTCTCTTGCTTGACAATTCCTGAATTCTTGAACTAACCCCCAGATTTTGTGCTTACAAAGTACATAGTGGCTCTTGTCAGCTTCTTGAGGTGTGTGGGGGGGAATTCACCAACTCTATCCAACTTCTCCAGAGCTGTCAAATGCAATTAGAGTAAGTTGATCAGGGTTTGTTTCCAACTTATCCTCTCCAGTTGGTCTCCATTCTTTTCTCCCCACCCTCTTTTTACTAACTCCCCTCCCCCACACCTTCTCTACTGCTCCCCCCACCTCTGAAGACCTCTTCTATTCATGTGGCCCTGAACACTGAGTTCACATTGTCAAACACAGATTTGCCTGCAATAGACAACACAGTAGCCTCTTTACACCTCATCATCCCAGGCAGCAATCATTGTGTCCAATAAGATGGGGGACACAGCGCCCCCGCAGGCCCCCGCAGGAGGGCTAGGGGGGCCTTCTGGGGCGGGGCTCCTAGGAGGGGGCTCAGTCACCCCCAGGGTGCACAGTGCTATCGTGGAGCGCCTGCGGGCTCGGATTGCTGTCTGCCGCCAGCACCACCTGAGCTGTGAAGGACGCTATGAACGTGGTAGGGCCGAGAGCTCAGACCGTGAAAGGGAGAGCACCTTGCAGCTCTTGAGCCTTGTACAGCATGGCCAGGGAGCAAGGAAGGCTGGCAAACACACCAAGGCCAATGCCACCGCTGCCACCACTTCAGCCCCTCCACCGCCCCCTGCTGCCCCTCCTACGGCTTCCCAAGCAGCAGCAACAGCAGCCCCACCGCCCCCACCAGACTATCACCATCACCACCAGCAGCATCTGTTGAACAGTAGCAATAATGGTGGCGGTGGTAGGATAAATGGAGAGCAGCAGCCACCAGCTTCAACCCCAGGGGACCAGAGGAACTCAGCCCTGATTGCGGTAAGGCACCTGGTTTTCTCATGCTTCTGGCTGTGGTCATGTGACCTTTTGTGAAGGTAGAGGTTGCCTTGGCCTAGTGCAGAATGGATGGCAGTAAAGAAGGCCAAGATGTCACTGATGACCTCAAAGGCCACTGAGTGTGTTGTCTGTGTGCTTTTGTACTCTTGCTCATCAAATCCCACCAATGCTCATGCATGAATTTTCCACCACCTGTAGAATATTCCTTAACTGATAAGAAGTCCTACTTCTCCAGAGGCTCTCTGGGGTTCAGGACTTTTAAAAGAAAGGCTGCAGCGGAGGAAGGCCCTGTGTCAAAGCTCATCCTGCTTTGGCTAGCCAGTTCTAATTAGGCCCAACAAGCCATTCTTCAGCCTGGAGGCATTTATCAGCTCAACTGACCTTTATCAAAGCCTTTGCCTTCTTGCCTGGTTTCCCCTCCTTCCTTTGAAGTATCCCTTCTTTTGGGTGAAGAGAACATAAATAGCACTTGTAATACAGAACAAGTTCTCTGAGTGTCTACTCATTCAAAAAAGTTAAAAAATGGGGAATATATTCCAAAGATAGACTAGTGAAGGATGTTCTTAGAAGGCCTACTCCCTGATTTCCTGTGGACCCCATCCCACTTCCCACCTAGCTTCTTTTCTAGACACTCTGATCAAGCAGTGCTATCTCAGAGCATTCAAGGAAGTGGGAAGGAAGTGCACTTCATTCTGGGAAGTGCCTTCTCTTTACCCACTCCTTGTGACTGCATATCAAACCCAGAAGTTCTGATTAAGTTTCTGACTGCAAGTGCTTCCTCACAGGCACAGACACACCCCACCCAGAGGGAGGATCCCTTGAATCATTGATTTTTGGTCCCAGTCCTGGTCAGGTGACTGCCTGCCTGAGATATGCTCCCTTCCCCTAGTGTTGCTGGGCCAGTAGCAATTGGATAGAAGGTGATATATCCTATGCTGCCCTGCAGCCCTGCGAGCTTCCCCTCTGAATTTCATGGGGCTCCTGAAGTTCTGTGTCTGCTCATGGCACAGCTTTAGTTTCCCTAAGCCAGCTTGGGTGTAAAGCAGAAATAGGAAATGGCCTTGTTAGCCCAAAAGTACTCAGAAAGCCCATGGAACCTGATGGTACTGTGTCAATGTCTCCTCCTGAGGAACTGGAAAATAAGCTGTGGGGACTGGACATCCTCCAGCCAGGGCCCCGGGGTATTTCTTTTCGGTTCCCCCTTATCCCTGCCCTAAGTCTGTGATGGAGAGATTTCCTGGATCTGGGAGCCGTGATGCTCTTCTCCCCCTCCATACATATATTTTACTTGGGATAACCAAAAGTACAACTCTTCGACACCAGCTTCAGATGGAAAAATAGCTACCTATAGTGAAACTGCCCAGTGTTTACTGTTTTATCCCTGAATGCAGTTAGCTTGTGAGGTTCTGTTGGAGCTTCAAGTCCTGATTTCCTTTCTCTACCACCTGCTCCATTGCCACTTCTCCTTGGAATTCCCCAGCAGAGCAGTGGGAGTTTGTTTTGTGAAAGAGAGATGCTAGGGTGAAGGAGGAAGGCAAAGAATTGCGCGAATGGCAAGAAGAATGAAGTTTGTATGTATGTGTGTGTCACCAGCATCTGCAGCCAAAAGTAACTAAATGCCTTGATTGTCCCCAGTAAATTTATAATCTGTCTGCAAGTCTCCCAATAATACAGCTTTGTGTGCTTCACAGTCTCCTGGTAAGTGTTTCTGGGATGATACTGACAGCAAGGCATCCAGGCCAGCCCTGAAAGGGGAAAGCTGATCTGTCCTGGATGTCAAGACAAGAGGAGCTACAAAAGGGCCACAGGGGCTTTTCCTCAGGGCCTTCACATACATGCCTCTGTAAGGAACCTGGCACGTCTGCTCATAGCCTTGGGTGCTTTGGGTTTGGGTTGTTTTGTTTGTTTGTTTTTTGCTTTTGTCCAACTTGGAAGTAAGATGAGGCCGTCTCTTTTTCTTGAGTGCTTTGGGATGTGAAATGAAACCAATTTCAGTGGTTATTGTAGCTTTACAATAGCAATATCCATGTTGGCAGAGAAGTGAGGAAATAACATCTGGCCTTTCTCCACTAAAGAGCTAAGCCTGCAGAAGCCAAAGGTGTTTGTTTTGCCACCTCTGCTCTCTCCTCTGCCCTCCAACCATCTCCTAATATATTCATTCCCTTGGAGTGGTTCCCTTTCCAAGTGTAGTGATGATGTGGGAGGTTTGACATTAAGTTAGAAAGGAAAAGAGCGACTTATTTCAAAATGGTGTTCTTCATTGAAACTGTGGAATTGCAAAGGTTGATCCACAGCTCCCCTTTTGGTTATTGGAAATTCCCTCTCCATTATAGCTTCTAAATTTGGCACTTTATTACTCAGCCTGGTACTCGGAGATGGTGATGCAAGTGCTGTATTAACCTGATAACATTGTGTCTGACAGGAGGCCTGGGCATTAGGGAGTGATTCACCAGGCCCATTACACCAGCAGGTCTCACTTCAAGCAGGCTTCTCTTATTTTCAGAGACACTGTTAATCTAAAGGTCTTTGCCCAGAATGAGTGTCAGAATTCTTTCTTAATTTTATTGCGACTGTGTCCATAACCAGATTTATGTGATCTGGGTGTGCTGAATGTATCACTTTAATAGTGAATTTGTATACTTTAAGTGGCCATAAATGTCCTTTGGAGAAAAGGAGAGAATATTGATCATCTAAAATCAAATAAGTGCTATGTCCTCAGATGAAAGCTCTGTATCCCACATACCTTCTAGTACAATGCCTTGTATATAGTGAATAATGTTTGCTGAATGAAGGTGAAAGGATTAGTTTTGTTCAGTGGGATAGTGTTGACTTTGAGGTGTGTTCTACTGCGGAGAATATTTAATTTCTGAATCTTTTCAATAGCCTAAGTTTCGAGAATAACGTAAGAATAACCTCTAAGTCAGTTCTAATTCTGTCCACATTGAAAGCCTAATTCTGCAGCCCTTACTCAGCCAGTTTCTTCATTTAGCTCAAGTACATGTTCAGGGGAAGCCCCACTGCTGCAGAGACTACAGGAAAAGGGCCTTTTAGAGAGCTGGTATTGTAGGGCTTTGAGCAAATCTGTATTTCTAACCACTTGGAGGAGGCTTTCAGCACTAAATCATTTTCTAGTGAAGTATGTTTGAATCTTTGAATGAACTGTGAAACTGAATAATTGCTGGTCCATGGAACAGTAAGGTTAGCACTTCCATGGTACATTATTAATCTTTCCCTTTTTCCTGAGACAAGCTCTTTTTCTATTGTATAGATTGTGTTGCTAGGATGGGTAGATAAGTGGTTCTAAGTCGTCTTTGGCTTCAGAGATTATCTTTTCTCTAATGTGGTGTGGGGGAAAGAAAGCAGATCAAACAAGGGACCTGTGGCTCTTGAATTTGTGTCTGCTTGATTCCCTAACCAGCTGGGTAACCTAGGACAAGTCACTTAGCAGTCATCTGTAAAACAGAGAGAACTAGAATACTGCTCTAGCTTGTTGAGAGAAGCAAATGAAGATATGTTTCTGAATGAGCTTGAGAAAAAATAACTGCCCTACAAAAATGCAAGACATCTTCACTAATATTACTACTAATAAACTACTGAACGATGAATAATAATACCAGTTTTTTCAGGGTTTAAAAGTATCTCAGCTCTCAGTTGTCTGTTTTAAGTGGTGAAATAACTTTTATTGTAGAGGGATCGGTATTCCAAATTTAGTGCTATCAAGTTAAAACTGAGATATCAGTTTACTTAAGTGTTCTTGAAGTCCCAGGAAATTCCACTTCTAATGTGTGATACTGTGAAATTTTGGGGCATTTTTTAATGCATGTACTTCACAGGCCCCTGCATGGGCCTGAGAAGTTTAGGAAAAGTGTAGCCCCCAGAGCTCCCAGAAATATTAGAAAAGTCACTTACACAAATGGCATGGGAAAGTTAAATATTTTGTCAACAATAGTCTAAAACGTTAATTGTTAGCTTAAGAAAGTCAAACAAGTTAAATCATTGCCAGAGTTCCCTGGTTGTTTTAAACTGATAATAATCAAGTTTCCAATTGACAACTCAAAATTTGAGAGCTGTAAGTTGGGGGCCAGATCTGGGTGTCTGTGGCTGTGTGCATGATAAATGTCCTGCCCAGGACAGTGATAGGAGTGTTTACATTATTTATATATGCAGCCATCATTTCTTGACCTATTTTTGTTCTGTTTTCCAGAACAAAGTAATAAAGGGAGAGTTCTTATGTATTCAGGACCTCACCACTTCTGTCAAGTAAATATAAGATCTCACAAAGGCACAGAGTTCAAGTGGAGAGAAGTTGGTACCATGCTTTATCAAAAATTGACAGAAAGCTTGCTCCGACAGCAAGGCAATGTCCTGTAAACCAAGATGTCTTTGCTTGTTTAGATCAATATTTGTTTATAGAAGTCATCTGCTTTCTTTGAAATAATGTCATTGCTAAGTGATGTTCATCAAATTTCAGCTTCCCTATTCCTAAAATCATTTTTAAATACCAAGATGTTGAAACATGCATAAGTTTTCAAATGGTCTTATACATAACAATTAAATATTACTAAGAGAGTGGCCATTATCCAGTTTTTGTTTTCATTTTTGTTCATGTTTGTTCTTAGCACTGTTATTTAATCTCAAAAAGCCTAAGAGGAAATCTGAAAAAAACAAAAACAAAAAATCACCCACTTCTGCTATGCTGGCAGATAACCCTTTCTCAGTGGATTCTATTACTTCCTTGTCCTTTAATCCAGTCCTTCACATACATTCATGTTCATAGGCAGGGCCATGTTTAATGAAAACAACTCTAAATTTTCCTTCTGCTTCTTCATGCTAATTTTCCTCACACTCCAGAAGGCTCTATGGAAGAATGATGGGAAATACAGAAAAAGACAGTCCCTGCTTGATGGGAAATACAGATAAAGACAGTCCCTGCTTACTGTAAGTCCAGTGGAGAAATCAAGACCACCTTAACAAAGGAATACCAGATGTGCAAACTAGGTAGAACAGACCAAACTGATATAGAAAGACAGAGGAAGAGAGGAACAAATGCTTATTTAGTTCTAGAATATACAGGTCACCTTTGTCCACACTTTACGTTGTGCATGCAAAAACCAGGTGAGTAGGCAACATTTGTTCTATTTTATAAATAAGGACACTTAAGGCTTAGTGATAAAGTAAATGGAAAAACTTATTTTGTTTATTTATTTTTATGTGGTACTGAGGATCAAACCCAGGGTTTTGCACATGCTAGGTGAGTGCTTTACTGGCGAGCCACAACCTCAGCCCTAAATGGAAGAATTTAAAGCACAGGTTTTATAGTTAGCAACCCATGTTCCAATCCCTACTTCACATTTCTTGCTGCATGAATTTGGAAAAATGATTTTGTGTTCCTGTTTGTACATCATCATCTGCATCTGTAAAGTTAATGCTGTTTAACAAAGTCAATATAGTGTTTGATACTTAGTAGCTGCATAAAACATGAGCACCTACTACTATTAGTAGTTGTAGGAAAGAGATTACAACCCAGGCCAGGCAAAGCTTTTAGAAGAATGCAGAACACCAGCAGGGCCTGGAAGAATGTAGAGAATGCTAAAGGTAGAATGGGGGTGTAGAATGTGGGCATGCAAGGAGGTGTGAAAATTAAGGTTTGGGGGAAACAGAGAGTGATAAGCATGGCTGACGCTGTGGTTGGGTATGAGTAAGGAAGGGAACAGGTGAGGTGATCCACTTCCTGGAGGGTTTCAGGGTATGGCAAGAGCAAATCAGAAGCCCTGGTAAATGGTGAAGCACAAAAGGCTCAGAGGAGTCAGCAGCTATGGAGCAATAATAATCCTTCATGTACTTGAAGACGTGTATTACATTTCCCCTCCAGCAGCCTCTTCTCACAGCGCACTGCCTAAGTGTTCTGTACTACCTACCTTTAAGTCCCTAGAGCTGCTTAATGCCTTGCTATTTACACACTTCTCCCATTCATGGTGAGTTATATACAGGATGACATGGCCTTTGGCACTGAAAGGAGATGGTTTCAAAAGCACACTAGCTAGACACAGAAGAGAAACTAAAAGAAGCAGAACCAGCTACCTCTCTGCTTAGGTTTATTGGCCCTTCTGTGCAAATAAGAATTGCTCTGCTGATAAAGGTTTATTTGCTTGATGTGTAAACTGATCTTCCTAACCAATGAGTTTCCTTGCATATCAACTTGGAAAATGTCTTTTCATTAAAAAAAAAAAAAAAAGATGAACAGAAATTTATGAGAAGCCACAACTCCAGATGGTCTTTGAGATTTACTTACTTATTTACTTGCTGTTAATACAGATGTGTTACAGATCTTTTACATGCCCTGAGGCTCATTCAGATATTGAAAGAGAGTCAGATTTCCTCCATTTGGTCCTTGTTTACTAGACATAGAGAAGGGACCCTGTGACATAGATGGCAAAGGAAAAAAACCAACAACTCTTTCGCTCCCTGATTCATGGCATGCTGCTGGGATGCTGCCCTTTGCTAATGGGCTGTCTTCCAACTTTGACCTTTTCTTACACATATCTAAGGAACAGATGTGAGAGAATGAAAGCTGTTCCACTTCCTTGTGGGGAACATGAGGAGAGGAGCTTATGTATTCTCCCCAGGCCTAAGGAAGTCTAGATGGTTGGGCTCTACTATAACCAAATTACTGAGTAAAAAGGGTAACTCACAATACTGACACACATCACAGTTCTCCACATGTCTTAATGGTTTCAGAATCTCACATCAAGACTATGAACATGAGTGCTTTTTAGAATTTATGAAAATTATTAATTCATTCAATAAATAATCAATGTGTGACTATTCTTTGCCATGCCATGTGTCAGGAATACCTTTTGCCCTCTTAGAATTGATGGTCTGAAAGTGGTGTGGACAGGTTGGAAATAGAAGTGTTCAAGTTGGCTTGCTGAAGGAGGCAAGGCAGTGGGGCAGTTAAGTAGAGCCTGGCATCTGGAGTGGGGTGACCAGGTTTTCAGTCAGCTCTACCATTTAATAGTAGTGTCTTCTTGGGTAAGTCGGTCAATTCTCTAGCTTCATTTCCCCAGGTGTAAAACGGAACGGTAGTAACAGAACTAATTTCTTAATGATGTTGATTAAATGAGTCATTTGCCTGGCACCTTGTAGAGGCTCAATAAATTTTAGCTGCTCTATTTACGTGAGAAATGACATACTTGAATCAGCTAGCCCACAACTCCAAGTACATCAGACATTACACGGAAGGACATGGATTTTCTCTTTGATATTTACTTTAAAAGGTTAGTAAATGGTACTGCATTATCCAGTTTCCCTCAGTGGTTTAATGTGGAGATATCACCCGGGATAGATTTGCATTTCCCAGGGGTGGGCTAAATAGTGTCCTAAAAAATAGGACCAGTTAATACGTTTCTGAATCCTAGGATCACAGGACTCCCAATCTAGAACTCGAGTGTCTACTTGACCCTGTACTTTTAGAATAGGTCTGAGTTTCCACTTAGTTACCCAGAATGTGGGCTTAGTGGGAAAATGAGAAATTTAAACTGTTCATTCAGAGTTTTGAGTCATTACAACTGGAAAGTCCAAATTTATCAATTTAATTAAATTATTAATTTAAATTAATGAATAATTCTTAAGTGAATCTGATCATAGCTGCAAAAGATTAGAAGCTCCCTGCTGTGTAGATTTAAATGCACACTTTTGAAAGCTAGATCCCTGGCTAAAGCTGCTCAAGAAAGGGGCAACTGCATCTGCAAGTCCACAGGCAGCACAAATTTGCTCTCTTCCCAACTTTGACCATGAGCATGTTAAAAATTTTGTGCCTTGATGTGGGTTATGGCTTGGAATCTTTTCTTCGCTCAGTACCTCCTTAAGTGTGACTTTCCATAAGAAACACAAGGAAGATGTTGCCAGGGCTTCAAAGCAAGTTTTAGTGATGATAATTCTTAATCAAAAGCATGATGTTCCAGTGAAGAAATGTCAGGATTAGAATAAGAATAGTCCCAGTTCTCTGATGGACAATATTTGGGCAAAGATGGACTGTTGGAACTAACTCAGAACAAAAAAATGTCCTCAAAAAATACAATTTTTTGTTGTTGTTTATTCCCCATCATTTAAACTTAGATCTCCTCCCCCTTTCTCACAAGGAAATAATACTTAGGAAATGTGCCATCAAATTCTGTTGGGTTTGTTTTGTTTGAAATGGTGTTCTTGTTTCCTGAGTCATGCCTGCAGGTTCATATGTTAATGTGGAGTTATTAACATTGTCACTTTCTAAATTCTCTTTTTTTGTCAGAAATGTGACTGAGTTATATTAGAGGATCCTATCCAGCATACTGATAACTCTTGCCCACATGAAGTCCATTACTTTGACTCCTCATTCTACAATAGAATTCTTTTTAGGTAGTTCTGATGGATTTGAACAGAAAGTTAATTACATGACTTTAATTTTTTTTTCTTAGTTAAGTCTGTTAATAGCTACCAGGATATGCAGTGTAATCTCTTAAAGTCCTGGTGACCAGGATTCGAAGAGTAGTTTAATTGAATGCAGTATGTACTCTACAATGTGTCTTTGGAATGACAACTGCCATACTTAAGTGTGAACTGCTCATTTCTGGAGGTCTCAGGCGTCTAAATTATATGAAAATAAAAACTTTCTTTGGGTAAGCAGCTGAGATATCGAGTTTATTTTTGTTTTAGATGTTCACCTAAGTGGACGGATACTTGCTAAACCGGCTAAGGCGTACATATTTGATTGCCACACACAACACCCTGTAATTTCAGACAGCAAAAAGTATGTGCTAGTATTATCCCATTTGATTGTTCTACAGAAGTGTTGAAAAAGTGCAAAGTGCAGAAGTAAGAGTAAACAGGAAAGAGCTGCAGTCCTCTTGACAGAAAAAACAGATAGAGGCTTAGTCAAGTTTGGGTCCAAGTCATGTAACCATTGCACCAAAGAGAGCTTCTTTTTCTCACTTAGATTCTTTGCATGGGGATCTGTTTGTCAGCTCAGTCCCCCAGAGAGAGATTCTGAGCTGTCTTTGTGCTAAATTAAACATTAGTTCTCTCCTTGGGAACCTGATCTTCCATAGACTAAGCAACAATATCTTTCTGAGAGAGCTCCCAGCTAAGCATTTCCCTCAGGAAGGTACTGGCTCAGGAGCCTTTTCACCTGTGCTGTCTGCTTAGCTGGTGTGAGTGTGTGTTGCATGGGAATTGTTTTGTCTAACTGGGTCTAAAGGCCCTTAGAGTGAGGGCTCATACTTCAATTTTGGCATAATGTGGGATGATCGACCCATGCTGGCTTAGCACATAAGA